CAAAGATGGCGGCCGTGAGTTAGAGAGCGGCGGGCGGCGGCGCCAGCGGCGGACACTTCTAGGAGCGGCCGCGGGAGGACCGGGAGCGACCGAGAGAGAGTGAGTGAGTGCTGCTCCGCCCTGCCGCTTGGCTGCGGGGCTGCTCGGCCGCCTCAGGCCGCTCCCTGCGCGGCGGGTTCGCTGCGGCGCCCCCGGGGGTTCTCTCTCCTCAGACGCCGCTGCGCACCGAGCCCCGCGGTGTGTGTGTGTGTGTGAGGGGGGTGCTGCGGGAAGGGGAAGCCGCCGTGTCGGCCGTGGGCTCCGCGTCTCTCTTGGCCCCTCACGCTGGGGCGGGCCGCACGGCCGCCCCCGCCGGGGGTCCCCGGTGGGCCCGGTGCGGCGCGGCGAGGCGGGGGAAGGAGCCGCTGGCCCGGCTGGGCCGTCGCTTGCTTGCGAGTCGGATAAACTTTGTGCCCGAGGCCGTGTGGGGAGCGGTGGGGCCGCCTGGGCGGGCGGCGGAGCCCCCTTGGCTGTGGGGACGCGTTTCGGTAGCGGCTGGCGGCGCGGGGGTGGGGGGCGGCGGTGGGGCTGGGCTGGCTCCCCCGCCCTGCTCGGGTAAAATGGCATCGGGACGGCGGCGTCTCCCCGCCGGGTCCGCGGCGCTCGCCTTTGTGCGGGCTTTCAGCGGCGGGGGTAATTGTTAACGTTTGAAATGGAGCCGCTCTGGTGAAACGAGGCGGGGTGCGTGTGTGTGTGTGTGTGGGGGGGGGGTGATTTATGGTGCTGGACTGGCTCTAAAGGCTGCCGTGAGCCTCAACCCCATCGCCCTTCTCCGGGATCCCAGCGTTGTTAAAGGGATCTTTAAAGAGATGAAGGGTTGAAAACAAAAAGTCGCGCATGGGACACAATTACGCAGCCAATTCTCGCCCAACCCGGAAGTTTATGTCGGTAACACGTGTTGGTGGGGAAGGTGGCGAGGCCGGGAACCGGGACCCTCCCGCTGCCTTCCCGCGGGGCTGGCGCGCCCGGCCGGAGCCCCGCAGCTCCCGGTGGGGCTGAAAGCCGCAGCGACAGACCCGGCCTCAAAGTCCAGTGATTCTTAACGAGCGCACCTCAAACAGAGGTTGCTAGGGTGAGTAATTGTTTAACATAAAAATGCCCTTACAGTCTGAAGGGGAAGAGGCCTTGTGGGGTTTCTGTCTGTCTTTTTATCGGTTGTTCCATTGTTATTTTTAGCTGAGCAGGTTCCACACTGTCTTTGGGGGTATAAATTACAACTCTTGGACTTTCTAGTAGGTATTCGTAGGCTGGTTTTAGATGTTTGATATCTGCTAAAGATCAGGCCAATCGTTTAAATGCTTAAAAAGGTTGAATTGATGAATTAGATAACTTCAGATTGTGTTGTTTATTCAAGCTAATAATTCTTATAATTACTTTTTTTTTCCCCATTACTTGCTCTGGAGTTAAGAATTAACTCAGTGATGCACTGATTTGCTTTATAGAGTGTGTAGGTTGCTTCTGGATTAAAATTAATTAAATACATGCATGAATGTTTTGCAAGCTTTTTTGCCCCCCTTAAATTGAAAAGCCATAGTTGATGATGTAAAGCAAATAATTTGCTAGGGCAGAAGTGGTGTAACAGCATGACATTTGAACTGGTTTCCTAGATCTTAACTGGCGTGATATGTTACTTCTGAATGCCATTATAGTCTTTAAAATGCGGGCAGTTTGTCTTGTTATCCAGACAAATTCTTTGATGTCAGAACTGAACAACAGCTACTTGAGAAGCTATTGAAGTGGGCAGCAAGTATGGTTAATGTGTTTCTTGTTCCTCGAGATACACCTAGAAGTGACTCCCAGGCCAAAATCGAGGGAGGGTAAAAGTGCTCAGATACGGCTGCTGCCTCTTCTGGGTTTTATTTCATAAAAGCCTTCACTATAGCATAAATTTTGACCTCCAGCCATTTAGTCTGAAGGCTGATTTTTAGCCAGATCATTACATTTCACATTTTAAAAGCTTCTCAATTTCCCATTTTCAATCTGTATATCCTGACCACTGTGAATTTCATAGAATAGTTGTAAGAGAGCTTTGAGGCAGAGCTGAGTCCTGCAGCATCCTGAACGACCTCGTGTCCTTACACGTGATGACTTCAGAGAGGTGGCCAGCGTGTGCAAAACTGTTGTGTGTTTTACAGGGTTTTGTGTATCAAAAGTAAACTTTGTACATTCAAATGCCATGTTAACTATTAGGCTTGAGGGTAAGGCCTGTAAGGATGGGTGAGTTCAGTCATTAGTGCCTTACTCTGTGGTTGGATGGTGACTTGGAAAGGACCAGAAGGGAATGGGTTGGCTTTTTTCCTATTTTATTGTTTCCTAGGTTGCCTTCTGGAGCCAAAAGCTGCAAGATGAGCAGAACCCATCTGGATATCCAGAGAATCCTGTTGTGTGGGATTAGGGGTTAGCAGCCCTTACACCTCTGTTGTGAGAGGCTGTGAATGTAGATGGGGAATTTTTTAGGTTAATAGTAGCTTGTGGTTCAGGCAGAAAGCTGGTGGGGTCATACCTGTCTTTTCTCTACAACTTCAGTATTTGTGTGGTATTTTAAGTGGCTTCCAGTGTAGTTCAAGTGACATGTATCCCTCAGAAAGCCAGTGGGAAAATCCCTCCCAGTAAAAGGGGAAACAGGAATTGCCAAACTGCATTGGTCCCATTTAAACCCACATTTGCACGTTGGGTGTGCCACAGAGGCCAGATGTCCAAAGGGTTTGGAAATAGCTGTGCCTGGTTGATTGTGATTGATTTGAGCTAAGCTGTGATGTTAGAGTTGATGATGAGTTTTAGATAAGCACATTAGGTATACAGTGTTACAACATGTAACTCTCACCCCTAAAAAGCAAAAGCTTTTTCATTGTTTAGGATTCTGCCATTATTTTCCTTGGGGGAAATGGAGGGTGGGTTGCTTAGCATGTGCTTTAGAATCCCTTTTTGTTTTGTTTTTTCCTTCTTTGTACCAAAGCTAAAATGGAGGGAGGGAGAGAGTCAGGTTGGCATGGATACATGACATACTATTAAACATGGCATTTTGGTTTTGTGTCTTTAAATCAGAAGTTATTTACATAACGTGCAGTGGTAGCAAAGCTGTCTTTATCAAAGTTTTAGGCTATATTCTGCAGCAGAAGAGCACCTTATAGAAATGCTTGATGCATTGTGATAGCCCTTCTTGAAATGGCAGCAGTTTATATGATTGATACAAAAGAAACTGAAATATTGCTACTGCTGGAATTCTAGAAATATATATTTTTTGTTAGCTGTATCTAACAGGTGGAATCTTGCTCAGTGACATTGGGCAGCCCGACTAAACATAGACAACCTTATCTGCAAGATTCTGCATGCTCACAACAGTCCTTGGATTGGTGAAATGCTTAGGGAACAGCTTGTAATATTCACAACTTTTTTATAAGTAATTTCTTTGGAGATTTTAAAGATGTGGCAAACAGGTCCTTATATAGTATTGCCAAAGCTGAGCTGCAGAGCTTGATAAAGTCGCTTTCACTTGTGTTAACTGAGGAGCCTCCTACCTTGTAAGATTATGGAGCTGTTTCAGCTTGATAACGCTTTAGGCTTGACTAGCATATGTCACAAAAAATAAACTGACCTATCACAGTGCAGCTTTGCCTGTATTTACTTATTTCTCCGCATTGAATTTCCTTACTGCATGAAAATTGGGGATAGGCAGCCGTGGGGCTTGGAAGTTTCACAAAGCCTAAAATTGGTATGAAGTATTCAGTGACTTATAATGTAAAAATTCTAGAAGTCCCGAATTCCTTTTGTTCCAGTTTCAAACAATGCAGCTTTGTTCCTAGTGTACAGAAACAAAATAAGTGAAACTAGTCAAACTTCCATTGTCCAGACTGTCTGACACAAATAAACTATTGCTGCTGTTCTACTTGCTTTTTGCTGGATTGTTAACAATTGCTAAGCTTTAAGACTGTTAAATTTGGGGTTAGTGTGAGAGATGCAGCTGGGGGATTTCTTACATGAAGAGAGCCATGCTAGGAAAGGGATGCTTCTAATCTGAAGATACTCATTCTGGAATTGTAGGAATTCCTACACTAATTTCTGTCACTCAGTACCTCATGAAAGCTGAAATGAGCAATTAAATTATTACTGCTACAAATACTTTTTTTCTGAGCTTGGTGAAACAATCTCAGGCTATCCGTGGTGGTTTTAAAGGTTAAAAACATGGAGTTCAGTACTATCATAGCGATGTTAAACTTGAAACACAGTTGTTGGGTTGTGGCACTGTTTTAGGATGGTTAGGGAGGATGTGTTTTTGTGTGCTGTTGGTGTGGTTTTTTCTAGCCTTGGTTTTGTTTCGAGTCTCAACTTCATAGGAAGGCCTTCACATATTGCAAGGGTAGGCTAGAAGTTAGCTTGAGTAATTTTTTTTGGTGCTAGCTCTCTTTTAAGTAAGCACCCCAAATTTTGTCTTTCCATGCCTTTATTCAGTAGAGCCGCTTATCTCTCAACCAAGTTTTAATCATATCTTCTCTTAGAGCTGGTGTCATCAAAACTGCATACAGACTAAAACACTTCGTAACTGGCATTTTTTCCCTGGTACATTTGGACAGGCTTGTTTATTTGACCATGTAGAGCAAAGGTGTTGCACTGTATGGAAGAGTGCTCATGCCCCCTTCCCAAATGGACACTGTAGGGTTATGAACGTGAAGTGTTTTGGAGCTGCTGTTTTGAAGGGGTAACCCGTCTTAATTCACCTTTTGTGGACAAATTAATCTGAATGCTCTGAAGTTCCTAACACCAAAAGTACTGATGAGCTAAAACTCCATTTGCAGTCTTAATCTTTCTAAACTCACCTGTTCCTAATCAGCAAACAATGCTGTAAGCTTTTAAACTTAGCTATGAGCCTTGCTGTTAACATTTCAGTCTGAAAATTAAGGATTTATCCTACAGAATTAATATATATGTGAGATCCCCTTGGTTTGAGATGAGGCACTTAATCTTTCTGCAAGGTAGAGCTGACAGTCTGTTCTTACTCATTTTTTATGACCCATTCAAGGTTCTAGGAGGTAGACTAGTGGGAGGTGACATGCTTTGAAGGAGCTGCCATGTTAATTAAATCTGCTAGATGTCTTTATTTCTTAATATCTTCTGTGTCTGATAAATTGGCAGAATGGTCTGGTTTGTAATTACGTGATCACCTCAAATGCCTTTAAAAAAGTAGAATCTAGTTTTGACACAGCAAGCGGTGTTCAGTGGGATTGCGTGTGGCCAGTAGCAGTCCCACCAGTTACTGCTTGTTGCTTCGCTATTCTTCTGGGTAGTGCAATCTTTTGATGCTTCAAAATACATCTTCCCCTTGTCTCAGTACCTTACATCCACTGCTACAATTGTGGTGCCACCATTTTGGTATTAGTCCACTGAAAGAAGGTTTCTCCCTACTATTGCACAGACTAAAACTAGGAAGAATAAGAATTATGTGCCTGAGGCTTAACTTAGCACATTTGGCAGAACAGGTAATTCTTGTAATGAATTATGTGTGTGACCAAGCAGCTGAATGTGGCTTAGCTGTACATGTAAAGGAGGACAAGCAAGTGAATGCTGATTTGGAGCCTGTGAATGAGTGTATCTAAAGTGCCAATAAATATTTTTGTCCTCTTGCCTCCTCTAGAATAGGTGTTCATCTTTGTTACGTTTTGGTGTTTTGTTACCAGTGGATGCTACAGGGGGTGTAGAGGAGAAGGGAAATAAATCTCTATTGAGGTATAGAATATGTAAGCAACAGCTCAAGTTATGTGGTCTCATGTAATTTTTGTCTTGGTACTAACACAAATGGACTTCCTTCTCAAGGAAGCAAAATATGTTCTGTCTTAATCTGAAAACAGAGTATTTGGCTTTTTTAACAAGGTTTTACACTGTCTAGAATAGCTTTTGAAGTTAATTTTGCTCGTCCTACACATAAAGGAGTCTGTGACCTGACGTTCGTGTCCTATTTAATATGTAGTTAACATACTACAATAATGGAACATTGGTTCTTTCCACTATGCAAAACAAAATTTCTCATATGAATGAATTACTACCTAATGCAATGGCAAGCAAGAAAGAAAAGCTTTCCTTATAAGCTTTTTATCACTAACTTGTTGTTACAAGATAAACTAAATGAGTTTTAATTGTGCTTCCCTCGTGCAGTGTGTTTCACTGACAAAGACTCTGGCATTAGCATAATACAGTCTCATCGTTTCTGCCTCTTGTAGTTCTTGTAAGGCTCAAAAGCGTGGTGCAGCAAAGACCAGAAAAGGTTTATTTTTTCTTTTTAAGTTTATGGGTATGATAGCATCTTCTGCAGTAAACTGTTTAATTCTTCCTGCTTCTGAATATGGTGGGTATATTGAAAAGATTTAAAAAACAAAGTAGAGGGAAAATCTCCAAATGAACAAAAGAGCCAGAACAAATCTGGAAAGTGAAACTGCATGTACAGGAGAGCACATCGTGTACGCCCTTAAATGCAGGAAGGGGAACCTCAATTGTGAGTATGTGTGTGTGCACAAAGTCAGAACGAAATGTAACTGGTATTTGTGGTTCTAATTCTTTTAGAGATGGTGGAGCCAGGACAAGATCTGTTGCTTGCTGCTTTGAGTGAGAGTGGAATCAGTCCAAATGACCTGTTTGATATCGACTCTCCGGACATGGTTCTTGCAACTCCAGCACCAACTCCAGCTGTTCAGCAGGTTAAAACAAGAACATAGGTGTTAGCTATAGGACCGAAGAGCTTCTACCTGATATACTGGGGGGGGGGCTGGAGGGAGTATCCATGGCAAATAGTTAATGAATGTGGAGTTTTCATAAACTTCTTGCTTCATAGTACTGAGGTTGGGAAATGACTTGTTAATTAATTTTAAACTTTTATACGAAAAAAGCAATCTGAAGTGCACTGTTTACGTCAGTATAAACATAAATATACTTAACTTCTGAGCCTTAAAGGGTGGCCTGCTGTCATGTAGCCATGGAGAACTCTAACATCACTGGAGTCTAACTGCTCTCTTATGAAATGTGTGAAAAAAGTGTAATACAATACAGTGTTTAAGCTCCATGACAGCACTCGGTTATTTCATAATTGACTGTTTCAGCCACAGAGTGGGAGCAGCAGTACGCTTAACAGTGATATTACAAAACTAATTACATTTTTACAGCAGTTAACTAACAAAGTGTTGTACGTTTAACTTCTCTGGATGTGAATTTGACCTCTTGCTGATCTTTATTTTCAGTGAAGCCTTTGTTAATGGGCACAGTTGAGAACTTCCCTGTTCTGTGGGTGGATATTTACTCTTAAGTTTTTTTTTCCCTGCTAATATTAAAGTTTCCTGATGCTTACTTTCTTTCCTCTGCAGTCAGTGCCACTTAGTGCTTTAGAACTAGGCTTGGAGACTGAGGCCACAGCTGCTGTGAAGCAAGAACCAGAGACTGTATCGACTCCAGCCTTATTAAATGTTCGGGTAAGGACTGGTACTTCAAGGTTTTACATGTGTTATTGTGGTGGGTTAACCTTGGTGGGACGTCAGGTGCTCTTTCGCTCCCCCGTCCTCAGCTGGATGGGGGAAAAATGATGCAAGACTTGTGGGCTGAGGTAAGGACAGGGAGATCAGCAGTTAGTGTCACAGTCAAAACAGACTTGACTTGGAAAAATCAAAAATTCATTGCCAGTTATCACTGGAGTAGGATAATGAGAGCTCTGTCTCTGCTGCTGCTTGCTCCTCATGCTCATTTCCTGCTGCAGCAGGTCCTTCACAAACTTTTCCAACATGGATCATTCTCCCAGACTGCAGTTCTCCACAAACTGCCTCATTGTGGGCCCTTCCCATGGCGCACAGTCCTTCAGGAACAGACTGTTCCAATGTGGGTCCCTCCATTTCCTGCCAGAAAACCTGCCCCTCTCCATAGGGTCATGATGTGCCTGAAGGATGTGCATCTGCTCTGGCATGGGGCCCTCCATGAGCTGCAGGTGGACAGCCTGGAGCACCTCCTTTTCTCCTTCCTCATTGACAGTGGAGCCTGCAGTTTTCTTGCATACTCTCACTCTTCTCCCAGTTGTTGATTGCACTGTGGTTCTTCCTCCCTTCTTAAATATGTGCTGTGGCTTAGACCCAGCTGATAACTGAGCACCACGCAGCCGCTCACTCACAACCCCCCTTCTTCCTTCTGGGCAGGGTGGGGAGGAGAACCAAAAGAATGTAAATCCCATGGGTTGAGATGACAGTTTAATAACTAAAGAGCTATATACTACTACTACTACTAATAATAAGTGAAATAACAGGGGGATAGAATATAAAACTAAGAGGGAAAAGTCAAAAAACCCAATAAACGCAAGTGATGCACAATACAATTGCTCAGCACCCACCGATGTCTGGCCTGAGCAGCAATCGGTCCCTTCTGGGTAACTCCCCCCAGTTTCTATACCAAGCATGACAAGCTATGGTATGAAATACCCCTCTGGCTAGTTTGGGTCAGGTCGCTGTTCCCTCTTGGCTTCTTCCTGCACCTCCTCACTGGTAGGGCATGAGAGATTGAAAAGTCCTTGATGGGGATAAGCACTGCTCAGCAACAACTAAAACATGGGTGTCTTATCAGCATGTTCTCACACTAAAGCCAAAACACTGTACTAGCTATGATGGGTTCAGCCTTGACCAGCTGTGGGTTCATTTTACAGAAGGCTGAAACTGGCTCTATTGGATGTGGGGGAGGCTTCTGGCATCTTCTCACAGGAGCCACCCCTGCAACCTAACCTTGCCACATAAACCCAATACAGTGTATTAGTAAAATGTAATGAGAGAGGTGGGACTGTAAAGTGGCAGTTAGCCATCATCTCAATTCTGCTTGTACTGAGACTGTGAAAGCTTAGCAATTGTGCAGGTAGTGTATGTATTTGAAACTCTCAGCATAGGGTCCCTGTACCTGCAGTAGTCATGTCTTGTACCTAGACAATGAATCCTTCATCCTATTTTATATTTCCTTTAAAATGTGCGAAACGTGCAAAACCACATATGGCAGTGTATTGATAGACACTTCTTGCTCAAACTGTTGCACCACAAGATAATTACTTGTAACATCTTCAGCATGTTATGTGAAGACATTTCTTATTACAAGTGTTTTAAAAACTGGTGACTCCTTGTCCTCTCGATGAAGGGCTACTAAAGTCTGCTCTTTTTCACTGTCTTCTGAAAATTTCCCTGTTGTTTTTTGTTGCTAGCAACCACCATCCACCACAACCTTTGTGCTGAATCAAATAAATCAGCTTCCAACTTTGGGGACTACGCTAGTGATGACAAAAACAACACCTGTTACAACTACAAGGCAGACTATCACTGTAGCAAAAATCATTCAGACCAGCACAACTACTCGTCCCTCGGTTGCAGCACCAGCAGTTCGCAATGCCTTGACCACTGCACCTTCAAAGGACCAGATTCAGCTGAAAGATCTGCTAAAGAACAATAGTCTTAATGAACTCATGAAGTTGAAGCCACCTCCTAATATTGCCCAGCCAGTAGCAACTGCAGCAAGTGAGTTTTCCTTTTAATTCATATTTTTTTGGACAAACGGTGAAATAACAGAATGTGAAGGTCTTTGCACATCTTGTATTTTCATTGAGGAGTAGAATATCACAGTAAAATTAAATGATCCAGAAAACCTGATAAATTCTGTTCTAACTGGAATACTGTTAGCATTCAGGGCGAAGTAATACAGAAAGGCTTTTAAAAATAACTAAGCTCTTGATTTACTGTAAGGAATGAGGAAGATTTACATTTTTAGACTGCAGTTGGCAAATTGGTAAAATTAATTTGTGAACATTACTGAAGTTGATGTAGCTATCTTGAGTCTACATCACTTTCTGTTCTACTGGATAGTTGCTGTGGAACTATGACAAATTAGTACTTTTTTCCACTCTCTCTAAGATATACTGATCTTATAGGCGGGATTGGAAGTAACCTATTTTTCCATATGCAGATAGAGCATGCAGTAGATGAAGCTGTCTGTTAGGACCGAAACAAAAAGAAGGATGTGCCTCCATTGCATGATTGGCAAAATTGAGACCCCAACTGAAGCTGGGGTGGGGGGTGAAGGAGTGAGGAAGAGGAGGGGGAGAAGGTTTTATAGGGCTGACTTACCCCTTGGTGCTTAATGAAAACTCACAGGAGCAATAAGTAGTAGGTAACAGCACAGTAGCTGTTGTAGTGGCACAGCTGCAGAAAGTAGTTGAATCTGTAGCTTCTGTATTAAGTGAAAAGGAGGCATGCAACTTCTAGAACTGCATTTCTATTCTTTGTGTCCTTGTGTTTCTGGATATTTCTTTGTGGTTACAAAACCCCAAATGCATGTAGAAATTTCAAGGGCAGATGAGCTCTTGGAAGGCACCATGGTCTTTTCACATAATTCAGGCAGCAGGAGTTCTAGATTGTAAAATTTTAAGAAGTTAAATTATGCAGCTTCTTTGAGGGGAACTTTATTTGTGCAGTTGTCTTAATTGTTTGTTAGGGACAATTATGCTAAGTTTATTACATGCATTGACTCTCAATGTGATGGAAATTTGACAGCTGCTCTCAATGTTTTACATCTACCCTTGTGTAAATTGTTTCAGTTCTGTATAAGCCCTGTTGCCAGATGCTTCCAAATGTGACAGAGGACTGGGAAGTTAATAAATTGTCTTCTTGAAGGATCCTGCTATAAACTTTAAACAACTGAGTCCAAAGTGTTGATTTTTTTGTTTTACAGATATAATTGTAGTTTGTCCTGAGGTGGTAAATGCCACTCGATCAGGTAATCTCATTTCTGTTGAAACACTGGACTTTCTGGTTTGTTATGAAACTTCGAAGGCTCACAAGATGGAGTATTTCTAAGTGTTTTGTATAGATTTGGTCAAGGTCAGAATTATTTCAGTATTGAAACTAACACAACTGGTCCCAATGTCGCTGTTGGATGCAGTGGTATTGCATGGGAAGCTTCTTCAGTCAAAGAAACAGGATTTATCTCCTTGCCGAGATACTTTTTAATCTGGACAAAAATAGTAGCACACTGATGCTTTAAGAACACAATAGATGTTTTAAATTCCTCTTATTGTTTATTAATAGAGAAGAATGTGAATTGGAGTCAATGTTTGGAGGCAGTTCCTATAAAACGCAGCTTTTCTTTTGTAGCTGATCTAAGCAATGGTGCCGTGAAGAAGGAGGCTTCCACAAAAGAGGTAGCAAGAATATGGATAAATGATATTAAAATGAGAAGTTTTTCCCCTACTATGGTAAGTAGTACAAATAGTTAATTTGCCAAATGTATATTTTACTGACCACAACCCCTATGACTAATTTTGGTAGTTACTCATATCTGCCTTTTCTGTGGTGAAGTTGCTGAGTGCATCTGTTTGTTCATAAGGTAAGTTTCTCCACTGGATGAATACTTGGTTAAATGATTAAAACTAACAGCTGTGTAGAGCTGACTATCTGTATAATAAATGACAATTCCAAGAAGTTACTGTCCTTAACAGAACCTCATTTTGTGGATAAAGGGTGTGCTCAATGCAAGCTGATAAGCATATATCACTTTGTGGTTTAAGACATTCTCTTTTAAAATACCCCTATTCATGTAACTAGAAATGAGGAAGTCAGAAGACTTTCTCTAGCATGGCTGACCTGGTCAGTTTAAGATGTAATTTGAGCATGAATACTTTAAAATACAAACTTACTGATCAAGGTGATAATATGAAATGGGTAACACTCAGATTTCAGAGTACTGGATAGAACTGTGGTTATTGTAACTATTCCCTGAAGTTGTGAAGTTGCGTAATGAATGTAGAATGGGAGCACTTGAAAGTTGGGTTTTGGCCATTAACTATTGGTGTTTTCAAGGCAGTTTTCTTTAAGTCAGTTCAGATTTAATATGCTGTAAGAAGTGTTTCTTTTCACTCTGCTTATGTGAGTTTGGAATACTTTCCTCCCCTTGTAAAGGAAAGGAAGTTCTCTGCCTGTGTGTCTTCAAAGGGTTGTTCAGAGTGTAGTATCTACAGTTGGGTCTGTAGTTTTCCCAGCTGCTCACTGGTTCACAAAGTACGTGGGTTAAAACATTCAAGTGCAAGTTTGTGCTCATTTCGTATGTTAATTCCCAGAATATAGAGTATGAGCCATGTGCTGTTTGACTAATGCAGGTATTTCTCTGTTGTAGAAAGTGCCAGCAGTAAAAGAAGAGGAGGAACCCGAGGAAGAAGATGAAGAAGAAATGGGCCATGCAGAAACTTACGCCGAGTATATGCCAATAAAACGTATGACCTCATGTTTTTTTACGTCAAAAGGCTGAAATGTTTTGTGAGCTAATTTGTTGCTAACTCTTCTGTAGTTACTAGCACCAAAAACCAGATAGATTAATATCTGAATGAAATGAAAATGACCTGAATTTGTTGTGGGTTTTCCTAGATTTTTATAGTGCTTTGTTTTGGAAGGAATGCAGATTTCTTTAATAGAAAAGGTGTTCTTTAGCGTATCTTGGAGCAGTACTTGTTTCAGAAACATGACTTGTGAGCTCTTTCTTTACCTATGTAAAGATGGTTTGTGCCTCAGCAGAGGAAATTTTGCAAAGGGATTAAGTGGTCACTTAAGAATCTAGTTTGAGTTTTCTGGTGTAACACCACCCTAAGCACATTCTTCCTGCATTGTTCCTGACTGACTTTAGAGCTGTTTAAAACAAAAAAGTGAATATTTTACTGCTGTTAATGGCCATCTCTTTATTTTTCCTCCCCTTTTATTGTAATCAGTGACAAAAAGCTGTTACCTTGTTTCCTGGGTACATGGCTGACCTACAGTAAAAGCAAGGCAAAAAACTGCATGGAGTTTGTAGCTAAATGGTTAATTTTTATTGTCACTGGTGAGCTCTGTCAGCAATTAAACCATGTCTGGTCTAAATCTTTTCTCATACCGCTTAAAACCAGCGCTATATAAATAGTGTGAAGAATATTGCTTTTGTGATTCTGGCATCTTGAGGCTGCCTCTGGCCTTTTCAGAAGGCAAGGTTCAGACCATTTCTTCTCAAATATGTCACATACACAAATACTTTAATTTTCTGTTAACTGAATTTTACCTGATTTCATAAAACTTGGGGGAAGTTGGTGAAAGTAGAAACAAATTTAAGATAGCAGTTCTTCAGATTCAGGTTTGAGAACTCCTCTGTGTGATGCAGCTTAACTGTTGACAAACTGTTGCACCAAAATGTGGTGGTTCTTGCCTTTGCAACAGACAGTTGTAATTTGTTTTGGTAAATATAATACCAGTTTTCATCTTCTCCCTTCTTTCCTCTTTTCAACCAGTAAAAATTGGTCTACGTCACCCTGACCCAGTAGTGGAAACCAGCTCGTTATCCAGCGTAACTCCTCCCGATGTGTGGTACCAGACATCAATATCAGAAGAAACAATTGATAGTGGCTGGTTGTCAGCTCTGCAGCTTGAAGCAATCACTTACGCAGCCCAGGTATGGGAGACATTTGTACAGCTTAAAAGCTAACATAGAATTTAAGAAGAAAAACTGTTCTCTGACAAGTGCAGCTATGTCAGTTTTATAAGGAGATAAAGTAAGAAGAGCTTAAAGGTTTGAGTTGTATTAGAAGGCATCAGGTAAGCTTCAGATAAATGTGAGGTAATACACCTAGAAAAGCTTTGTCTAAGCCACTTCCATGATGCTGATCTCAGACTGCCTTAAAACTCAGGAAGGACCTCTTAGTCGTTACTTTTATTTCTCTGAAATAACTTAATGGCTGCAGTAGCAGCAGGTTAGGAAAGTCAACACTGGTATCACTGGGATGGGCATGGAGAACAAGATTGGGTGTTACTTTACTGCTGTGTTAAACTTCAGTGGGCCCGCATGAGAAGTTGTGCTTGCAGCACTGTGTCTGGGAGGAAGGTGGTGAAGTTAGAAGACAGCTAAAATGGTCACAGGAGGGAATAAGTCACCTCATGAGAAGACACTAATGAGGCTGGGGCACTTTGATCTAGAGAGGAGAAAAATTAAGAGGCATGAAATCTAGTTTTATATAACCAAGAAGGCAGTGGAATCCCACAGAACAAGAACAGCAGAACTTGGGGAAACTGCTAGGAAATTGATTTTAAAATTGACAGAAGAATACATCTTTACATAGACAGTGGATGTCTGGGTTTTGGTGCCACAAAAGGCTGTGGAGGGGCATATGAGTGGGTTAAAAAAAGGCACTCAGTGTAGTAGTAGACACTAAAAGAATTACAGATGTATACAGCAATTTTACAGCAGTTGTAGGTGCTAAGGGGAATAATGGATCACATAAAGCAGTCCATAAGCTCATACGCTCTCCCGAGATAAAATCCCTTCTTTCTGCTGTCAGGAGGCTCTTGGCTGGGTGGACCACTGGTCTCATCCAATAGGATGTTTCTATTGTCTGCCTATTTCTGACAATCCACAGTGATGTGTTCTGGAGAATGGGTACAAGTTTTTTGTTCTTTTCTCCTACAGCAACATGAAACATTCCTGCCCAATGGAGACAGAGCTGGATTCTTGATAGGTGATGGTGCTGGTGTAGGAAAAGGAAGGACCATAGCTGGAATAATCTATGAAAATTACTTGTTAGGCAGAAAAAGAGCAGTCTGGTAAGTGTGTCAGGATTTGTCAGAGCAGACACTGTAGTGACTATAGTACTTAAAGTCAGTGTAATCTGACTTCTGACATGTAGCAAGTGCTTTCTGAACAACTGCTGTAACTTACAGAATATACGCTTTGTTTTCTATCTTCAGGTTTAGCGTGTCAAATGATCTGAAATACGATGCTGAAAGAGATTTGAGAGATATTGGAGCAAAAAACATATTGGTTCATTCATTAAACAAGGTGTGGAAACTTTTTACTATGTACAGTTGAGGCAAAACTTTAGGTACGCTTGTGTGACGAGTTGTGCATGTTGACTGTTCTAAGAGCAAGAATGTACTAATTTCAATACATTTGCTGTGTAGGTCTTGTTTGACAGGCTTTAATCTTGTGAAGAACCAAACAGTGCTTGAAGTTAATCATGTAAATAGGCACTATTGTAGGATTAAGTTTTAGCATGTGTTTTTTAAAATACTGTTGAAGCCACTGTTGCTATTCCTAGTATTTTCTGAAGTATTCTTTAAATCTTTAGACTATGTAGCATTTGCATTTTTTCCTTTCTGTCTCCCAGCACACATTTTATATGTATTACATTTTGTGTGTAATACTTGAATAATAGGCTTCCTCGGTAACTTATTAAAGCAGCAGTGGCATGTGCAGTTATTTTTGGGGACTCTTCTCAGGATTAGCCACTTAAACTGTGAGGCGTGATTACTGGTTGAATTTACTGAACTTAAAGTTTGGTTTAAGTTAACACTTTTGCTTTGTGAAGTCTTAATTTCTAAAATACTAAAAAGCTTTATAAATAGTCATTTATGGTAGTAGCTATAAATACACTTGACCTATTAGCTCTGAAGCATGCATTGAAACTAAAATCTTAATTGTATTTAAGGACACCATGTAGTCAAAGAATGTGGCTGTTAATCTTTTTGAGGCCTCAGATCTAGTCTTCCATAAGTACGTATTTAAGTAAAGCCCTACATAACCCATTAACCACATCACCATATGCCAGCCAAGCCATCATCATGATGTAGGGATACAAGTGGTTCAAAGTGTACACACCTTTCTGTTAAGACCACCAGCATCCTTAATCACGTAGTAGGTAGGATCTCTTCTGAATAATTCCTGTTATTTCTTATCTTTTTATTGCAGTTCAAGTATGGGAAAATTTCTTCCAAACATAATGGAAGTGTGAAGAAAGGGGTCATCTTTGCTACCTACTCTTCTCTTATTGGTGAAAGTCAGTCTGGTGGTAAATACAAAACCAGATTAAAGCAGCTTCTGCACTGGTGCGGTGAAGACTTTGATGGAGTCGTATCCTTTATCTGGAGTTCAGTTGATTGTAACTAAATTGCTTTTTAAGCTCCCATCCCTAAAGATACTCTTATACTTCTATTTGCTGGTATTTTTAAGTGGTATTCTTTGTTCCTGACAGTAATTGATCGTGTGCATGCTCTGACATTAGACTTGAAGCTTTACAAACCTCGTGCCAAATCTACTACCATCGTGTTCTTGCCATGCAACTCTGATCCAAGAGTGAAGCTTCTGCTTTCTCTATAAAGAGCACATGAAATACAAGTGTGATATTTAAGAACTTTAAGCTTAGACTGAAATTTTCTCCAGTGAGCTCTTGTAATTCTGAGTATTGACCACATCTTAAAGAACTCAGGTGTTGGTAATTATGCTCTTAAGTACTTCCTAGCTAAATATTTTTCCCAAGGCATTTAGTGAAAAATATGACCAACATCTTTCTGAGTTTATCATTTACTGCTGCCACCTCCTGTGATTACCATATTTCTGGTTTAGCTGTGGGACCAAGTGTTTTCCTTAATTACAGTTCAGATTGTATTCGATGAGTGTCATAAAGCAAAGAATCTGTGTCCTGTTGGTTCCTCCAAACCAACAAAAACAGGTCTGGCTGTATTGGAACTTCAGAATAAACTTCCGAAAGCCAGGGTTGTTTATGCCAGTGCCACAGGTATGTACTACTTGGTTTGCATTTAATGTCTCTGTATGCTTTTAATGGCACCGGTACTGAGTGTGTTCTTCTTCTAGGTGCATCTGAGCCAAGAAATATGGCATATATGAACCGTCTTGGAATATGGGGTGAAGGAACTCCTTTTAGGGAATTCAGTGATTTTATTCAGGCTGTTGAAAGAAGGTAATGTTTCAAAGAGCTATAGCAAGAACACATATGGTGACTATGCTTTCCAGTTTCTTTGTCTTCACTCACCCCTAGTCCTCTACAAACTTGTCCTGTCACGTAATAACTTTGCATTTCTGCTAGATTTAGAAGCTAGAATCAATTTATGTTATGTAGTGAAAAATGGGGTGTTTCTCGTGCACTTAGAAAAGTTTGAGATCTTTAGAGGCTTGCTGGGAAAATAGCCCTCTTAAAATGTGGGTGTTACACCGTGAATCACATTGTATGTACTGAGTATGCTCAGTTGATGTTTCACTATATGTGGAAGCCCTCTAATGCTTATGCATTCAGCTTAGGCAGTTGAACAGGAAGAAGTCTTGCTCTTATGTTTTCTGGCATAAGAACTTAGTTCAGGAAGATTATGCATGCTGTTGCAAGGTGCTTTGTATTTCAGAGCTTATTAAAAGAACTAAATGTGAGAGGGCAATAGAAAATGCAGCTGCTACATTCTTTTGTAGGTGAGCATCTTAATATATTGTGTTTTGCCTACTTAAAAAGAACTTTAAACGCTTCAGAATGCTGCAGTAGAGCTTAGTATGCATCTTCTTGTGTAGCATCTACATGGTGCATGACTTTTCTAGGCTGTGCAAGTGTAGTCTCCACTTCATTACTGAGCACGTATTAAATGAGCAATAATGAAAATACAGGCCCAAGCTTGTAAGTTAGCTCTGCAGTTGACTTTGTGCTCTCAAGGTACTGCTGAAGGTGTGTTGCTGTTGAAGAGGATTTAAGTTACCTACTAGCTTAATTATTTTCATACCACCATAAATCTGAATAACTTAATACAGTTTATTATTTTAAGTCTTCACTGGAGTTTATAGAATTGTAATGCCAGATTTTGTTACATACGTATATTTGGACCAACAAAACTATCCAATTGCAGTTTAAGGTACTGTCTCCTAATGCATGCTGGGGGAAAAGTAACTACTGAGTGTTTATACTTCTTGGGATACACTTAATAATCACAAGGCAGGGATATAGTTTTACGTGAAGGCTAAATTTCAAGTCTCCCTGACTGGATGTGTTTAACAAAGCAGTACTAATGATTTTGGAACATGTTCTTTCACATTTGTAAGCATGCTGTTTTCTTCTAAAGCACTTCAGTAATTTTGGTTTGTGGTTTTGTTTTGTTTTTTTTAAATCCTTGCTCTTGACAATTCTAATATTGACTTAATTTATTCCTTTATTTTAGAGGTGTTGGTGCCATGGAAATAGTTGCTATGGATATGAAGCTGAGAGGAATGTACATAGCAAGACAGTTGAGTTTTTCAGGTGTAACTTTCAAAATTGATGAAGTTCTGCTTTCACAGGAATATGTTAAAATGTACAATAAATCTGTGAAACTGGTAAGCATACTCTTTTGAATTTGCTTTCTGTATCGCGTTCTGAGAGGTTGAAGTTACTTGGTTTAAACTTGATTGCTCCTGAAACAGCCTTTTGTGAGATAGGCATGGCATCTTCTTGTCTCAGTGTAAAGGTTTCTCCATTCAAGACTTGGCAAAAGCTGTTAATTCTTGTCCTGAGTTATGAAAGCTGCATCTTCCAGTATGTACCAAATCCACTGCCTTCTAGTAGTACTTCAGAGTTTGGTCATTGCAGCCTATGATAAGGCTGCTTGCATATTAGTTGTATTTTTGTGCTACAGTCCTCCCCCCTTTATGCAACTGAGCTGAGAACAAGCTGCAAAAGGTTAGACAGGCTGTATGCTCTTCTTCATTGCAGTGGTATGGTGGAGTGGTGCTTGTAGTTAAACAGTGCAGGGTGATAGTTTTAATCACGTGGCAGATCAAATCTAAAGCATTGAAGCTTTGATTCCCTTTTAATGTTTGCTCACCTGCAGGTTATGTTTTCATGTTGTTCTTTAATAGTTTTACCCATATGCTAAGCAGAATGTCTTTCTCTGGAGTGCCCATTCATAGACATAGAATAAAAATAATTATTCCTTGGACAAAGGTTAAAATAAGCAGGGTCTTTACCTGCTTAAGAGGTGCTTAAGCATAACTTAATTCATGTTGTATGGCTACCAGAATAAAACTTTATCTTTGACAGGTATATAACAGCTTTAAAACAGCACGTTCTTATGGATGTTGTTTAGAAGAATTGCTAAGCTTGTGTCCAAGGCTTACTTTACCTAATCTGGAAACAATTGCTATAACACAGTGTTGTAGAAACGAAGGCAGTGGGGTTTTTCTCTTCTTGGGCTCTTGCTTTATGCTTAATTATGGGCACTGTTCTTTGCTTCCTTAACTGGAATGTATTCATGGAGAAACTGGATAATTAGGAAATACTGTGTATGTTTGCAGTGTTAGCAATGTAAATGTGTCTGCTTTTCATTATGAGAGTAATTATCTTCTGAATCTACTAAGCTTAGCTATGTTTTTTGTGAGCTTTGTTTGATGTATTCTGAGTTTCCTTGTCTTTCAGTCCCATAGCATTGTAACTTTAAACTCCTGTCTTTATTTGGCTATTGAACAGTGGACCTGTGTAGCCTTGAAATGTGACATGCAAAGCCATTAACATTTTCTTCCTCAGTGGGTCAGTGCTAGAGAGAGGTTTCAGCAAGCAGCCGACCTTATTGATGCCGAACAACGAATGAAGAAGTCCATGTGGGGTCAGTTTTGGTCAGCTCACCAGAGGTTCTTCAAGTACCTTTGCATAGCATCTAAAGTAAAGAGGGTGGTGCAGCTGGCTCGGGAAGAAATCAAGAATGGGAAGGTAAGTTGATCAAGGCCTATATTTAAATACCTTTGTTAAATGTAAAGCTGTTGGGGTTTTGTTTTTAATAAAGTATCTTCAGACACAGTAGTAGACAGAGTAGCATGGTTTTGTACTCTGTGGTATTGAAGCTATTTAGTGAGCAGAAATTCAAGCAAAAATAAACTTACAAGTGAGTGATCTTATTAACAATGTCTTGTGTTCACTTGTCCTTCAGTGTGTTGTTATTGGCCTGCAGTCAACAGGAGAAGCAAGAACATTAGAAGCTTTGGAGGAAGGTGGTGGTGAACTGAATGACTTTGTTTCTACAGCAAAGTAAGCCTGAAGTCTTAGAACTGTTCTTTACAAAACTAACCTTAATCCAGTTTAGTGTTTGTCCTTTCATGTATAAAACATGCACCAGTGCACAGAAACTTGGGGGTACCTTTAGTACCGAAGTTCTTAAGCTGCTGTACATAGATCTGACAGTATTGCTCAAGTGGAACCATTGGTTAGTTCCTGGTTCTGCTGACATTCTGAAACGGTGTTCTCAGGTGTAAACAGCTGGTCCTGTTCTACTCAAACTGGGAGGAGGGGAAGGCTTGCCAAGTGTACACTGCAAAATGAGTTACAGTCATGTCTTCCCTCTTCTGTCAGATGAGCCAGATCCAATCCTGAGACCACCTTGCTGAATCTGTCATTTAAACTTGAAGCAATAAAAAAATGGCAGTAGCAATACCACTTGATACCAAAAGCTTATTCAGCAAGCTATAAGTAACAGTGCTGTAGAATAAATGTCTCCTACTTTTAAGGTGACAGAGACAGCAATATGGGTGATAATTGTACAGCCTCCTTGTGTAATAGCATTCACAAGGAATAATTCTTCAGAGAAGCCAAGCAAGCTGTGACATTTTACTGGTTTCTACTTTAAGTAAATGCAAATTTGACTGAAGGATCCTTTTTTTCTTACACAGAGGAGTATTCCAGTCTCTTATTGAAAAGCACTTTCCAGCTCCTGACAGGAAGAAGCTGTTTAGCTTGTTGGGAATTGACTTGACTGCTCAAAGTAATAACAATTCACCCAGAGACAGCCCTTGTAAGGAGAACAAAATAAAGAAACGGAAAGGTAATGCTGAAGTTCCTACACTAATGCCAGAAAATGGCAATTTTAGAGCTGCCCAAGAGTGAACTCTGGGAAAAATATGGGAGTGCAAATATGGGTATAATCATTCATGAAAGAGCATGTATTGCAAGTCTGCTACAAGAAACTTCCATTAATAGATTGTTTTAAACCTCTCTGAAGCATTATAACCTGTAAATTCTGGTTACTTCTTTGCTCAGAATTGGGTTGATCTAGTATGGGACTTTGTCCCCAAACGATTTGCATGTGTCAGACCGCTTTCTGATGAAGTTACACAAATGTTCACTTTCTTTGAGGCTTCCTAAAGGAATGCCCGAACCACCTCCCTTCCCAAACTGATGTATGTTCTTACTGAAAAGTAGGTGGTAATAAAAAGAGAGGTCTTAAATCTTAGATTCTTTGAAACATTTCTGGTTTCAGAAGGTGAATATTTTTCTAGTGTGTTTGCAGTGTTGGTAAAACAAGTCTCAAAAATAAGCTAAAAGGTCTAAACTAACTGAACTTTTCTTCTGGGATGACGATGGAACTAGGTGAAGAAATAAGCAGAGAAGCAAAAAAAGCTCGCAAAACAGGTGGCCTTGCAGGTAGCAGCTCTGATGAGAGTGAAAGTGAGTCTGATGCTTCAGACAATGAAGAAAGTGACAATGAGAGCTCCAGGTTTTTGAGTTCTGGAGATGATGATGACTTCAACCCGTTCAGAGATGAATCCAGTGAAGATGATGAAGATGGTAAGACAGTTTTAAGTGTCTCATCAAGCAAGTAGCTGTACTTGCAGATAGTAAGCATAAAATCTTGCCTAACCATTTCAATGAGCCGAAACCAAGTGCTTGATAAGCACGTAGTTTAAGTCTAATGAGACTGGAATTGGTACTAGAATGGTGATTTGCATCTTTTGTAAGTGGATTTTACACACTGGAGTTCTGACTTCTGTAATGAGAATGGGCTTTTTCAAAGGAAAGGATGATTTTTTTTCCTGTAAAGGTACAACTTCTCAAAAATAACTTTATTTAACTTTAGATCCCTGGTTAATTAGAAAAGAGCATAAAAAGAATAAAGACAAGAAAAAGAAGAAAAGCATAGACCCAGATTCTATTCAAAGTGCCTTACTAGCTTCTGGTCTCGGATCAAAACGACCTAGCTGTTTCACTTCCACCGTTGGTACCACCACCTCTAGTACCAACACGTCAGGTAAGAATAAGTTTCTCTGACATTGATTCTCTTAGCAGTTAGGCAGTGACATTTCTAACTGTTAAAGAGTCTCTCTTAAAATTCCAGCCAACAGTAACACAAACAGCAGCTTTGTAACAAGTCAGGATGCTGTCGAAAGGGCTCAGCAAATGAAAAAAGAACTGCTTGATAAACTGGAAAAGCTGGCTGAAGATCTTCCACCAAACACACTGGATGAGCTTATAGATGAACTGGGTGGTCCTGAAAACGTTGCCGAGGTAGGCTGGTGTTCACATGCAGAAAAACTTGGTGTTTTGCTTTCTACAGCCAGGCATACATTATTTGGCTGCAGTAAATCCTCCTTCAAGGTTTCATGTGTGCTACATATCTATTAAAGAGAACTTGTTTATCAGTTTTAGTAATCTCACAGGACTAGGTATAGGTTGCTTTGAATGCATCCGAAGTAAAGAGAAACTTGAAGATTGTATTAGAATACAGAGAAGAGCTCTGAAGAGGTTAACAGGTTATTTCTGAGAGTGACAGTTTCTACTTGGGTAAATCATACTAGCTGCTTTGCTTTAGAGTAGTGTATATCTCTAGTTGTAGCCAGTTTGAAGCTGATGTTTATAACATGGAAGGCAGCTTTAGTTCATCTTCCTAGGCAATGAAGATTAAGAACCTGTATAATAAAACTGTGTTAGTGAAAAGCCTTATGAATTACTATCTTTCTCAATAACTTTAGAAACATGTCTTTAGTAAGCTGCCTATCATGTAGAAATGTCACTGTGATTTAAAAGACCCTGTTAAAATCAATGACAATCTCAGCTGTTGGTTTAGTTTCTTAGCACTCTTGGTGAATCCCTTACAGACAGCAGTGTATACTGCTATATAATTTCTACATAGATATGCTTTAAACTTTTGATTCCCTGAGTTACCTTTAAATAAATGTTCCATAAAGCAGGTAATGCCATCAACCAAAAATAATTGAGGCTCTCTAATGCAGTTTTGCACTTGGAGAAAATGAATCTATTTTAAGGTTGGTCTGTGAATCAGTAGCATCATTTTTGAAGTTTTTGGTCATGTAATAATTTTGGTGTGGCCATAACAAGCTTGTGTTCCCTTTTCTTTGTAAAGATGACGGGCCGCAAAGGGAGAGTTGTGAGCAACGATGATGGCAGCATATCTTATGAGTCGAGGTCTGAACTTGATGTGCCTGTTGAGATTCTGAACATCACAGAGAAGCAGAGGTTCATGGATGGAGATAAGGTAATCCTTAAAAAACCTTGCCAGATGCTGTAGTGACACTGATTAAGTTATTCAAGTTTTGGTTCCACCGTTATCCCGCAGTGATTTTTCTTTTGGTACCCTTAAGTACTAGAAAGCATTTTCTGTTCACTGTTGTGTATTTTGCCTTTCAATCAGTACATTGAGTAGTGCTAATACATGGCTGCAGCATGGCCAGGCTGTAGTTTGGGTGGCCACAGAAGCCTGTGCTTGAGGTGTGTGCACATGTACCAAACTGAAAGCTTTAAGCTGGTCTTGTTAAACAGCCTATGTTTAAGAAGCAGGTAAACCATCCACATTTTTGTGATTCCTTTACCTGGAGTACTGTGTACCTCTGCTTCCAGGAGGAAATAGTGAAACTGAGAAGTGGGGAAAACCACTGATTGACGTGATATGAGAAAGCTTTCAGGGAGGGGCTGGGGGCAGACATGGAGGCTGCTTAATTTAACAAGGATTGAGAAGTAATGCTGGGAAGAGGGACAGCTTTTGTCCTTTGAATTGCACTCTGAAAGGAAATACTGACTGGAATAATGGTAGAACTGAAGGAGGGGGGGAAACCACAAACCTTTCCTGTGGTTCATTTGGGATATGCTACCACAAGAGGGCAAATCAAGTAAATGTAGCTGTTGCATGATACGGGCTGGTTTTACAATTCAGAGTGAATACTCGTGTTCCTGCGACTTGTGCGCAGTCCAAACCTGTGCATTCTTTCAAGGCAAATGTGTTCAGTTATTAGAAGTTATTTATAGTGTCAGCAGCAACATTTTGTGTGGTGTGTTGCTTGCTTTCAGAGCAAAGCTCCCTGTGTCCCTCCCCTTTTCCTTCTGAAGTGCAAGCCAGCATCAGAGGGACTTGCCCTTTGGAATGGCAGGACTGCAGCATGCGGCCTTCGTTTGCACAGAAAGGTGTTCCTGAAAAGTAAAGTGAAAACCACTCCTTTCACTCAAATTTGTTAGCATTTTGAACGGATAAAGGGAACCAGGCTTCTCTCCTCCCCCTTCTTGCAATAGGAAGTCCAAATAACAGTGAAACCATTCCAGACCTGTGTTAGTAGTGATTGTACAATTACATATTTTAGACATGGGAAACTGAAGCTTGATTTTTTTTTTTTTTGCATTTATTGCTAATTAACAACTCCTTTCTTGACAAAAGAACATTGCCATCATCTCGGAGGCTGCCAGCTCTGGTATATCGCTGCAAGCAGACCGCAGAGCTAAGAATCAGAGACGGAGGGTTCACATGACTCTGGAATTGCCGTGGAGCGCAGATCGGGCAATACAGCAGTTTGGTAAATGACCTTTTTTGTCTCCTTTCCTGGCAAACTCAGTAGCTGAATTCAGTGCTAAATCATAGAAAATAAGATTGACTTAAGGACCCTTCCACTCTCCTTTACCCATGAACAGCATCAGCTTTACAGTCGTAGCTGATGGACTTGAAAGCTTTAAAAGAAACTTAGCAAACAGACTTGCACTGCAGCTCAGGGTTTTGTTAGGTATCAGGTGTCTCTATGAAAGCTGACACAACTGTAGAGCGTTCCTGTACAACCTGCTGTTGGCTGTATTACAGCAGAAACTGATTTTCAGTGGGATTAAGTTCTGGCTTTTTTCTTTGCTCCTCACAATTCATAGTTCATTGGAAATACGCAGTGAAGTGGAATTTCTCACTAATGTGTGTGCTTCTACTTAATTATCCAGGAAGAACTCACCGATCCAACCAAGTGACTGCTCCAGAGTACGTGTTCCTCATTTCCGAGTTGGCAGGAGAGCAGAGATTTGCATCTATCGTTGCAAAAAGACTGGAGAGTTTGGTAAGATTGTTTCAAGAAATCTGATCCTTCATTAGAGAAAACAGAACTTGGGTTTCCTTTTCTTAATACTTGATTTAATAACAAAGATGTGTCTTTACAGGGAGCCCTCACCCATGGGGACAGACGGGCTACAGAAACTCGAGACCTCAGCAGATTCAATTTTGACAACAAGGTGATGGTTCTTCTTCAGTCTGAAAGTTCATGCTGAGTTATTCCACACATCACAAATGACCTGTTGAGGAGGGATTCCTTTCATCTCCTGTGAAGTGTTTTACTTTAACTGTATTACTTTCTTGATAGGAGGCCTCTTTCTGGCATAGCAGTAAGCATTCTTAGCTCTGTTTGCAGAGGAATGGAACACAAATGTGTGTACATTTCTGTATTAACAATCCAAGACTTAAGTAAATGGTCTGTGTCCTTTCAGTCACAACTCAAAGATTAATTTAGCAGTTCTAATTACAAATGAAGATTGGGCTGTTTATAGAGTGGAGTTTAAAACGGGCGAGCTATAATAACCAGTTCCTTTGCTGCTGCAGTGAAAGCAACATTGTGAATTACAAATACTTGTTAAACCGTGTGTGCTTGGGGCTGAGGCACAAACACTGGGTCAGGTTGTTAGAACAACTCTCTTTTTCTTATGCAGTATGGCAGAAATGCCTTAGAGATTGTTATGAAATCCATTGTGAACTTGGACTCGCCAATGGTCTCACCTCCTCCTGATTTTCCTGGAGACTTCTTCAAAGGTAACTATAATTAACTGGGTATAATTGCTCCCTTTTGATCTCCAGTATGCAGAAATGCAAATCATTCTAGAGATCAGCTGGCCCAGGTAGGCTCTCACTGGATGTTATTCCTACATGTGTTGCTTGAATATTGAAGTCATGTATGAAACAAGATGTATGAGCTCTCAGTGTAAGGGATATTCTGTATCTGTTTGGCTGGAGTGTTAAAGGCAGTTTAACTTCACTTTCCCATTATCTATTGCAGTATCTTGTTTTGTGGCCTCATATACAGGGCCATTAGTACTTTTCCCTGCCTGTGCTTCCTGGAAGGGCAGAAGTAAAGCTCTGTCTTGCTTATTGGTGTATTGGGTAGAAATTGCATGTAATGGTTTTGAGGGGTGTCAGAAGTTTTGGACTTAGATCCTGAAACCAGGTTGCTAACCAGGCAGTCCCTTCACTTCTGTACCCTTAGATGGCAAAGCAGCTGTGATTTAACATCTTTCTTTTCCTAGATGTCCGTCAGGGATTGATTGGCGTAGGCTTGATAAATGTAGAAGACAGATCTGGAATACTAACGCTTGATAAAGGTATTTGTGTGCTTAATGGATCTTTGGAGTGCTGCTAGGAATATCGTGTATCACGACAGTGCCTTCCCAGCGATAGAATTGAAGCTGTAACTATCTAAAAAGCGACTTTTTGGGAAAACTTCAGAACGTTTTCCTCCTTTTTGAACAAATGGATTTAATTCCTCTTTAAGACTTTGAATACTGACGGAGAGCTTGCTGCCCTAATATGTGTATTTCTTATTTTTTTTTAAGATTATAACAATATAGGGAAGTTTCTGAACAGAATTCTTGGCATGGAAGTCCATCAGCAGAATGCTTTATTCCAGTACTTTTCTGACACGTTAAGTGCAGTTATTCAAAATGCTAAAAAGAATGGAAGATACGATATGGGCATCTTGGGTGAGTAAATCAGTTTATCAGTACTCTTCTGTGCTTCAGTAAGAGCAGAGAAATGGAATAACTCTGTCCTTTCCTTTTAAGATTTGGGCTCTGGGGATGAGAAGGTGAGAAAGGCAGAAGTTAAGAAGTTTTTAACTCCCGGATATTCTACCTCTGGACATGTAGAACTGTACACAGTAAGTTAAATCCCTGTCGTCTTTGTAGGAACTAATAACATTTGCTTGCCAATAGAGTTTTTAAAACGTGGCACTTGGCTAAGAGAGGGGAGGTTCCTGGCCTTTCACTGAGCAATATATGGTTCTATGGTTCTTTAATTCCTGTGTCTGTGACTGTTCCAAAGTCTGTTCCTATTCAGATCCCTCTGCTTGGCTTTCTTCTATAGATCAGTGTGGAGAGAGGAATGTCTTGGGATGAAGCAACTAAGATCTGGGCAGAACAGACGGGTCCAGATGATGGATTTTATTTATCACTACAGGTAAGATTCTTCTGTTTCTCTTGGATTATGTTTAGAGAAGGTTTCTGGGGGCTAACCCAATACACTGTCTTCTCTTCAAATTAATTATTGCTCAGCTCTGCAGAATGCTTTCACTGTTACATTAGAATTCATGTTAAGTTTGTTTCCAACACTCATTATAAAGCATTCCTTTTTAGCTGCTCAGGGTGTTTTCTGATGGGACTGTGAGCCCAAATTAATAGCTCCTACTTAAACCTGCATAAAGAAACCAGATGCCTTCACTGCAAGGAAGAGTTGTGAGGCTAATGTAGATTTAGTGGTATTGTCTTCTAAAGGTGTCCTTATTATTGTCTTACTGAGCACGCAGACACGTGCTATTACTCTGAAGAGCACAATATAGAATCACTTAAGGCAGATACTGTCAGCATGTTAAAGTTGTTTTTTTTCTTTCCAGATAAGAAATAACAAGAAAACTGCTATCCTAGTAAAAGAAGTGAATCCTAAAAAGAAGCTTTTTTTAGTATACAGACCAAATACTGGGAAACAACTCAAACTCGAAACATGTGCAGACCTGAAAAAGAAATATAAGAAGGTAACCATTAAAGTTATGTTGGTTTTCAACTTAAAGGTTGAAAAGAAATATAAGGACTTTTTCTGTTTTTTATGTATCCTTCTGGCAAGTCAAAAACAGGGCTTATTTTTCCAAAGTGGAGCTTGTAAATGGGTCTTTTCAAGCAGATTTATGTGGTTTCTGCATTCCTATATCTGAAGCATTCTGAATATAAATAATGTGTGGTGTAGTAATGGAAAATGGGGGGGTTAGGGTCTAGTAAGGGGAAAAGTCTTACTTCTATGTAAGGTGTACAAACATGCTCTTAAATAAGCAGCTATGTACAGTGTGTTTTAAGCAACGAATCTGAATCTTCAGCTGATGTTTTAAATACTCTAATGCATTACTAGGGGTGGCAAAGATACCTTGACATTTACACAATTTTATGTGCGTGTTTTTGTTCTGTCTAAGTCTTGGTGTGTTTTACGTCATTGTGATTCCCCCTTTGAATGACTTTTCCAGGTTCCTTCTGAAGATGCTCTGCCACACTGGTTGGAGCAGTACAACTCTTCTGCGGATACCTGCACTCATGCTTACTGGTTAGTATTTGTATGCACACAGGTACTTAAACTGTTCACTTAAACTACTTCTGTCCTTCTATTACTCATGTGAAATCTTGTGTTTCTTGTCCTATGACCAGTCAAGTGACTCCACCTTTGAGTGGAACATGAAGCTTTGCGCTTGCCCTTAGGGTCCTAATTATATGTATTAGATGAGTGTGATTTATACATTAGCATTCCAGTGGAAGTATCATGAAATTGGCTTGTGCTGTATTATTGTGGTAGGATAGTTCAGATGTTATCTGGGGAGGAAATATTTATACTTCCTATGGAGATGAGCTGTGTGTCAGAAACAGCTGCTCTTGTGCTGCCTCTCGTGTGTCTGAACTTAGCAGCTGATGTCTTAATTCCTGAGGAGCAGCATGTAACGGGTAGAAGTTTCAGGTTAATATTGGAGTTTCTGAAACATACTGATCAGACCTTAGTTTCATAGCACTTGTCTGTACGCTTTGAAGACGTGGTCTCAAATTCTCAGAGCTTTACCATTAGAGGCATGCTGTAGATAAAGTATCCTTCCCTCAGTGTGAACTTGCAGCCTTTGCTCAACTCCGAATACGCGTTAAATAACTTGAAGTCTCATTCTGAAGGGAATTGGATGGTTTCTGTTTGCAGAATTCTTTTGAAAGCTTATTTTCCTCTCTGCTGTAGGAGAGGCAATTGTAAGAAGGCAGGCTTGGGATTAGTTTGTGAAGTGGGACTCCGCTGTCGGACTTACTACGTCCTGTGTGGTTCAGTATTGAGCGTCTGGACAAAAGTAGAAGGCGTTCTAGCCTCTGTGAGTGGTACCAATGTGAAAATGCAAATCGTTCGTCTAAGAACAGAAGATGGGCAGAGGATTGTAGGTAAGTGGCTTGTCTGGGCTTTATTTCCATCTTGGAGTAGAAAGTAGTTGTAACTTACAGGTTGCTCCGTGTTGAGAGTCAAGTAGGAGACCCTTATAAAGATGGCAGGGGGGTTGGAAACTGGATGATCGTAAGGTCCTTTCCAACCCTAACTATTCTATGCTTACGCCACAAAAGGCACCTCAAGTGTGTATGTTGGGGAGGGGCAGAAGCACTGCTGTTGATATTTATATTTGTAGTATAAACACTGTTTTCAGTCAGGTTAAAGAAGGAGGAAGTTGTTCCAAAGGGGAAGAAAAGCACCCAAACACTTATTCTCCCAGTTCTTCTGATTTACTAGGATCAAAAATGTCATATTTAGTCTATTCCAGCCAAGCCACCTTTGAAACCATGAGGGCTCCGCTCCCCCGCCCCCCACTCCTGGCAAAGAACAGTAAGCCCTTAAAATGTTGGGTTTTTTTCTTGTGTTTTGAGCTACTGAAAGTCACATTTAATGAATAGTTTAGGGTGACTTCAGGGTGATTCTGTCTTGGTCTCATTGCTGAACCTCTTAGTGAAGCCCTCACAGCGGGTACCTCGGAGGCTGAAACATCCCTACTTGTTTAAATGTGGACTTAAGTGGATGTGCAGCATCATGGCAGCTCCTGCTCCAGCAGTTTTCTAAGTCCAGAGAAAGGCCACGAGGATGATCAGGGGCTGGAGCACCTCCTGTATGAAGACAGGCTGAGGAAGTTGGGGCTGTTCAGCCTAGAGAAGAGAAGGCTGCGTGGAGACCTCATAGCAGCCTTCCAGTATCTGAAGGGGGCCTATAGGGATGCTGGGGAGGGACTCTTCATTAGGGACTGTAGTGATAGGACAAGGGGTAATGGGTTCAAACTGAAACAGGGGAAGTTTAGATTGGATATAAGGAGGAAATCCTTTCCTGTGAGGGTGGTGAGGCACTGGAATGGGTTGCCCAGGGAGGCTGTGAATGCTCCATCCCTGGCAGTGTTCAAGGCCAGGTGGGACAGGGCCTTGGGTGCCATGGTTTAGTGTGAGGTGTCCCTGCCCATGGCAGTGGGGTTGGAACTGGATGATCTTAAGGTCCTTTCCAACCCTAACTATTCTATGATTCTATGCTGAAAATAGGTACTTCCTATTTAAACTTTCATGGTGGTGTAACTCCTGAGAGACAGGAAAGCAAAAAGAGCTGACTTGTCATTTTATGTGGCAGCAAGTGATGTAAGAGGAAGCTCTGTCTTCAGGGGCAAAACGGCAACTTGTTTCTATGCTGTGTGACCTGAAGGATCAAGTGACTTGTGAAGATAATTATTGAGGAGCAGAACTTGTAGGTGTGCTTGATCAGACGTTGGGAACTCACTGGTGACATTGCACAAATGAAGTGGTGGAATCGTCAGCCTGAGGTTTTAATGAACCAACTGTTTGCATGCTCACAAAACACTTAATCTGTTGCTGTTTCCAGGTCTGATCATTCCTGCAAATTGTGTATCGCCCCTTGTAAACCTCCTGTCGACGTCAGACCAGTCGCAGCAGCTTGCAGTACAACAGCAGCAGATCTGGCAGCAGCATCACCCACAGAGCATCACCAATTTCAACAATGCATAAAGAGGACAAACTACAGGTGTTGACTTTGGTGTTTTGAGGAAAAGGCTGTAAAAGCATATCACTTGCATAAAAATCAGGGACAGATTCCAAAGAAATATAAATTTTTCAGTTCAGTTGTGTGCTCTCAAATACTTTGGGAATAAAGAGATCTTAAAAGGTTGGTAGAACTGAAAGCCAGCAGTTGTTTATGGTGGTGCATCTGTCTTTCCTTATGCTCTCTGTAGTGCTTCCTGTTTGCTTTTACTTTTGGCCTTTTAAGCTACAAAACCACAATTTGTTTGAAAATGCTTGAAAATCCCCAAGCAGGCTTTATTTTTGTCATACAGTGCTCAGGGTTTAACGCAGTGCATCAATGCCATTGCTGTGGGAGATATCCTTGAATGCATGTATTGAGTATATATATAGAAAAATATATATTGGGTTTTTTCTCTTCAATTTATAAGTTTCTAAAAGCATGAAACCTAGAAGTTGCACATCATGCATTCAGGTTCCTTCCCAGTTTCTGTTTGACAGTGCATGTCTTTGGAAACGGGCATGGACAGGATGAACACACAAGACAGGAATTCGGAGAGAAACACAATCTTAGTTGTACAGCATTGGTTATTGCATTTTTATAGTGTTTCTACCCAGGTGTGGCATTTTTTCTGGTTCTCTCCTGGGGGTTATATATTTGAGTCTACAACATGTTCTTTTTTGTGATAAAACATCTTAAATTAAACTTAGTTCCTTTTTAATGTATTAATGGTATTCCTCCTGTGTACTGCAAAGGCGGCTGGATGCCTCTTTTCCTTCAATTGAAGCATTTCCTGACTCCGAGGTGGTTACAGAAACTGAAGTGCAAATTCACTTCCATCTCGCACACAATCTTCTCTTTTTTACTTCATTAACGTAATTTAATTTGTCACTTGTAAGATGAAACCTACTTGAGCTGTAAATTAGAGAATGGGAAACACTTGAGGGTTCCGCTGTATGTGCTGTTTCTGTTACCCAGTAACTTGAATACTGTTTAATATGTTGTAAGACATTGTAGAGTTTATCTGGAGCTGTTTAAAAGAAATTGTAATGTACAAATGTGAATAGTCACTTATCTATAATATGGGTAAGTTTTGTTTTGCCTATAATAGTAGATGTTTATAAGAAAGTGAAGGACAATGTTTGTCATTTCTTGCTTGCACAGGTTGCACTATTGAAAAATTGAGATTGTATAAACCTGTCCAAAAAAAAACCCTACAAGATAATGATCTTGTAGATGTCAAATAAAAGTTATTGTACTAACAAGAAGTGGAGTCTTGTTTAGGCAATCGCTGTATGCCAAAAAGAACTAACAAGTCTGTACAATTGGAATTTGACAGGACTTGGCATGTTCCAGTCTGCTTGAACCAGGCTTCTGTCTCGCAGCCCTAATGTCTCAGCTGAACTCATTAATGAGGCAAGAAGTCAACTCTGCTTAAACCTGGATGCATGCTTTAAGTGAGGCTCCCCTGACAGAGCAGCACATCCACCATAGAGGTAGGGTATGTCACTTGGGTAAGGGTGAGCCAGATTCGAGGGTCGTGAAGAGGGAAGAAGGGAGCCAGAAGTTCCACAGCTTCAGGCTGAAGTGAGTCCCTTAGGTGAATTACTGCACTTGAGGTTCTGTTAATGCTGCCTGGGCTGGCACCAAAGGGTGCTGTTGCAGAGGGTCTGCCTGCTTTCCTCAGCTTCCAGCCTGGAGTGCTGGAGGGGATGAATCTCGGCACATGCTGCTCACTAAATACAGATCTAGAATAAATCAGCATGTTCCTCGTTGCTGTAGCACCTGCTCCACCTCTGTACAGTGCTTGCACTGCAGGCAATAGGTGTTCAGGAGGGTTTTAAGCTTGCAGTAGGGAGGGGAAGCTTGCCTGAGTGCTGTAAGGCCAGTAGGAGCTGACTGTGCCCTGGAAAACCCAGACACAGAGAGGGTGTGGGGGAGGACACTCGTGGGTTTCATACCCACCACTGGGTGTATTTGGCATCCAGTCCAGGAAGAGTGATGGGATGTTGACAGATTGGTGTTGCAGCAGAGAGTGCCAGTAATGGCAAGCTCTGTGTGTGCTTCGCTATCTCTCTAATTATTACTATTTGGTGTAGAAACTTTCCCTGTCTGAGATGGTAACATAACATTTAGGTCCTAATCCTCAGTGAGATGGCTCTAGAAGTGGTAGGTTCACAAACAGTGTTGTGTTGGTTTTAAATAAGTCATTATTTAAATACACTTCAGTTCCTCAGTGCTCTTCCAGCTTGTTGTACTAACTTTGGTTGTTGGGATGAGCAGTGAGTGGGATATCCTGTATGGATAATCAAGCCACACTGCTCTGGGTGTTGATAGCACATGCTCTTTGTTCACACCCACTTAAAACCCCATGGACTAGTGTCCCCTAGAGGGAAAAACCCAACAGCACTTAAGAGGATCCTTAAGAACTATTCCCATTCCAGAGCTCTCTTCCCTTACTTCCTCTCCTTTGCCTGCTCTGTGCTATTTGCCACCATCCATGCGTTGGCTTTGTCATTCAGTTACTAACACAGCTGCACCCACAGCTCTGGAGTGTTCTAACAACTTAAAGGTTAACATCAAACAGAAAAGAGCCTTCAAGCTACAGAAACATTTTTCCTCTTGAAAATTCCTGCTTGGTGGTTGGGGTGTGGTTTCTGGGTAGTCGTTTGTTCCTCATGTGAGCTCTGATAAAGCTTGGGGGAGAAAAGGGATATAAATAGCACTGGGGATGGGATAAGGAACAGCTCTGCAGTATCCTGCAGCATTGCTCAGAAGACAAACATCCTCAGAGGGAGGAAAGAGGAGAGACTTGACTGTCACATCATGCAAATTATGGTCTCTCTACTTCCTTCTTGTGGGCCATTGATCTGCTTTGTACAAATCACCACCTGAAATGGACTTAGAAAGTGTAGATGTGTCCTAACAGGGGCAAAGCTAAATGTAAACCAGTAGTAATTTCTGTACTGCGTTGAGTTTTGGAACTGTGCTGTAGGAGGGGAAGGTGCAGAATGGAGTTAACTTGGGAGCTGAAGGGATAAAATTCGGCGTTTTCTCTTTGAAGCTGTCCCTTGACAGCAGCTAAACTTTGACTTCTTAAATCGTTTCATACCTGAGCTGTGTCTGGCACAGGAACTGCAATTACAGCCCATTAAACCGCTCTCTGCGCAGCAAGTTTTCAGTTTGTTTTCCCCATCTCCGTGCAGTGCATTGGGAACACACCTCTTGTAAGGACTCGGAGTTGTCAGCGTGCAGTATTGCCTTTGTAAATGAAGAAAAGCTCTGCAACCTGTAAACATTTGTCAAGTGAATTACCAAGGGGGGGGGTTGTATCTTTCTGTTGCGTTTGGAACAAGCTTCATTCAGATGCCGTCGCAGTCTGTACATATATCGGGAGAGTATGTATGTATATAGAGATGTTAAAGGCTACTGAATTGTTGAATGTAAATAACTCTTGGTTTCCTTTTGTGTTTGTTTTTCCTTCATGACCTTCCCAAGATGTATTCCTATTTTCTCAACCTGCCAAACAGGCACTTTGTGTGTACTTGGAAATACATATAGAGCATATATAAACCTTCCGAGGGCTGTGTGCGTGCATTGTGGATGTTACACGTTGTCATCTTTTTTCCCCCAGCTCTCAGTTGTCTGTCTCCCATCGCCCTTTGATGCAATGTGGGTTTAGGATGTATTTTTAGTGTATAATGCATTTTCCTGAGAGAAATGGATTCCTGATGTCCTTCAGTGACCGGAGCATCCACTTCCTGTGCCTCTATTAGAAACATGTCATTTTTCTTTAGTCTTTTCAGGTATTGAGCTTTAATCCTAAAATCCATTTCCATTTCTCCCACTTAGTATCTCCAGTGGGGTGTTCAGTGAGCCCCTACTATATAAGTTCTAGGACTAAATGCATCAACAACAGGACCTGCCCGCTCTCCTAACATTTAAAAGTATGATTGCTACATCCGTATTAAACGTTAACTCCCGCTGGAAACCCCCCTGGAAAGGTGGCGATTCGAGAGTAGGGAGGACATGTCTGTGGTTGAGTATTCCCTGGGGAATAAGGTCCAAATGTGCAAAATGGCAGCAGTTGGAACTTTCTTACCCTTGAAGCAATGGAGCATATTCTGAATTGTCAGATATAAACATACCTATTTGTATTGGACTTAGAGACTAACGAGGAATCTCTTGCACTGCCTTAGTCCCTAAGCTGTGTTGTCACACAGGTTTTGCCCTTCCCCTCTCCCTGGGAAGGTCTGTGTCCATAGAGTTATTCCCTGAATTAAGTGGTTGGTGAAGTCTATAGATGGGAGAGTCACAGCAAGAAGCGTCCAGCTGCACCTGGCACCCAAGGCTTCTGGTAGCTTCTGTGGTCAGTGCAAACCTGAGCAATGAATGTGGAGAGCAACGGCGGTGTTCTGTCAGTGCCATGTGGGGTTCCCTGTCATGGGCTCTCATGGCAGAGATGGACGGGGTTGGCAGAAGGAGTAAAGTACCACGACCATGCCCGAGTGCGGAATGAGGTTTGGGAGACCTCAGTGGTGGACACCCCACTGCAGGCAGTGTTGGCCTCATCTGCTGCTGTTCAGGCTGGGCAGTGAGCTTGGAAAGCACCAATTCTTTTTAACATGGAGGGAAGGAAATACTGGAAATGCTGGAGTTGCTCAGCCACAGCTCTTACAGCTGAGGGCAGATTGTCCCTAAAAGCTTATGCTAAAGAGTGCTAAATAAAAAGCAAGAATTTACTTGATGTACTTTGCTGTTTCTTAATGGGTTGAGATGAGTAACTGAAGCTTGAGGCAGGTGTAAGATTCAAGAACAGGAACTGGACAGGTTTAAGCTGAAGCCAAATTTCATATATAGAGTCTTTCACTTAAAGATTTTGATTTAAGCAACATCTTTGTTTATAGGAGTCCTGTGGTGCTTAAACACCTGCATCAACCTCTGTTCTATTTTTATTTGCAACATCTAAGTTTGGTTTGTGTTCTTGAACTTAGGGCATAACTTTAATATTAGAGACAGGATACCTATGGAAGAGCGGTTCTGTACTTGATTTGCACTGGGAAGGGTAAGGAGACATTTCTACTGGCATTCCTGATTCCATACGTATATATTTATGTATCTGCTTCCTGATTTGGAGAGGATGGCCAGGAATGTGCCAGGTTCACTGCAGGCACATAATGTCCTTATATGCCAGGTCATTTGTTTCCTTTTTCAGTCGCTAACATAGAGTCCCACTGCTGCTGGACTTTGAGGCGGGTGTTCACTGCCTCAGCATCTCCCAGTGATGCTGTGGAGGGGCTGTGCCCCATCCCCGCAACACCTATTGCTGTGAGGCTTCCTCTGAGCAAAGGATACGCTCTATTGTAAAGTAGGATTTGGCTTTTAGGGCTTCTTTAGCCCCCGCCTTTAACAGTTCAACAGGCCAGAATTCCAAAGCTGTGTAACATTTAAGATGAATTGTGTGTGTCCTTTTTATTGCCAGCCCAAATCACAACCCTTTGCCAACCTTAAAGCCTTTGTTCTCCAGTGTGGGACTGCACTGGGTGTCCCTGGGCGCAGACAGTGCTGGTGTGTGCCAACTGTGCTCCCACCAAGTGGCAGAACTTTGAGTGCCCAGCACTAAAATATTACAGCGATATTCAGAAGGATTTATACTCTCACCAAGGACAAACTGGGGACACAACCAGTTCTGCACTGAGGGCTTTTTGAGGGTAAAAGAAATGTAAAATAAATCAACAACTACCTTGGGTATTTTTCCCTTTTAATTTCTGCTGTAGCATTTACCCCTGCTGTTTATACTGGAATGCCTTCCAGCAAGACTTCTGCATACATTAAACATCCTCATTGTTGCTCCATTTGAGGGTCCTTCACCCTGGTAGAAGTCATGTTGTAATAACCCAAGCATCTTTCAATTCTCTTAAATAGCTGGCACTTACCGTGGTTACTGTGACTGGTTGATTAAACTGGCTTTGCTGGTAAAGAGCAGATCCGTGATGGTCTCCAAATGCCAATTGAGATGAGCTTGAAAAAGGGAGGAGAGTTTATATTAAAAACTGTATCAAGATTGGAAAGCATCAACTGCTTCACAGTTCATGCAGAGCATGCAAATCTCTTCCCTTTATCCACAGAGTTAGTTTGGGATAAACAGACTAATCTCATCTTATTTTTGTAAATCATTTTCTATTGACTCTCATTCTCGTTTTCCCCAGATCTGGAGCAGGGAGGATGCCAAGTTCTCAGCACTAAATGGAGATGCCCAAACCTCAGCATTTAATTATTCATTTTCATAAAGCACTAGACTTTGTTCTGTGAGTAAGGGAGAGACGTCTTCAGAGGTTTTGGTTGGCTCCTGTCCAACCTGTAAATAATATACCTTAAAAACACCAGCGAGGCAGCTCAGGAGCTGCTTTTGGAAGTCCAGGTCTGGTTTATATGTTCCTTCCTTCCACATTTATAAGGTGGATGAATTGACTGCGCCTGCAAAACACACAGGGCATGAAACTGATCTGTATCAGCTCAGCCAGAGAGACAGGAGTTACAACATAAACCAGGGTGCAAGTGATTTAATTAGTCCTGGGTAAGATCTCCCCTCAAGTTTCTTGGAGTGAATAAAAACACAGACATAAGCAATGGAACAGCAAAGCTCTGAGCCTGTGGCTGTGCACCACACACCATCCCCAGCATTACCCTCTCCACGGCAGAGAACTGGGCTCTAGGAGCAGGCAGAGCTCGGGACTGGGATGCTCCTGGTGACAGCTCCTGCCCCTTTTGTGGGGAGCCCTCAGTCCTCAGCTCAGGGCTGCAAGGGCCACATGTGTCCCACTGCCCCTTTGCTGCTTCCTAGGGTGGATTCAAGCAGAACACTGGTGTTTCGTCCCCAGCAAGAGCAAGGCATGCCCCAGCCCCATGTGCTCCAGGGAGGATGCCATGTCCTGGCCTCCTGAAAGCCCTCTTGGGCAGGAGAACCATGCTTCAGGCCTTGGGGCTCTGCGTTTGGCTCTGCCTCAGACGTGCTGCGTTCCATTGCCTCAAGACTGCAGTTTCAGTTACAGAGGATATTATCTCCTGTGACCAGCATCTGCCAGGGCTGGAAATCCTCCACATCCGGATTGTCCCTCCCTTTGTGTGCACACACGGAGCCTCCAAGCAGAGTCCATCAGAGCAGCTGGCTGGCCACCGTCTCCATGGGGGGAAACCCACAGTGTGTCTGCTCCATAGAGACTTGGGGGGGACCCTGCGGTCTCCCCACTTTGCTTTTGTAGGAGGTGAAGTCGGGGTCCATAGGAGTACTACAGGGCAGTAGGCTCCTGCTGTCACCCTTCAGGTGGACATTCAGAGACTGATTATTTGGCTGCCCAAAAATAGCATTTTCCAAGCCCTGATGCTTTGAGCATCTCCCTGTCCCCTGGGAGAGCGAAACCTCTGCCCTGGGTGAGGGAAGGAAGCACCGTGCCCGTGCCCAGCAGTGTCAGTGTTGCCTGACCAGAGACCACGGAGGAGCTGCCTGTGTCATGCCCTGCTCTCTGCCAGTCTGTGCTGCTGTGTCACTGCCATTTACCCTCTTGTCTCCTCCTTCTCCCTGCCCTGTGCTCTTCTCCCACACCCACCCCCACCCCATTGGTGTGAAGCTCCACATTCCTTCCCTCACAGTCATTTCCATTTTCCAGCCCTGCGCTTCGCTTCCACTCTCTCCTCCACTTCCTTTGCCTAAATGACCAGTAACAAACCAATTAGGGATGCTCCCACCAGGCTTCACAGCTGGTGTCGCAATGAGGCTGTGAGGGACAGGGTTGTTTGTGCCTCTCCATTATTTGTTCCAGGGGTATGCCGCTGCTCTGGTGACACTTGGTTTGCACTTGGAAGGTTTTCTGTGAGGCTTTACCCCCATGTGCCCCTCCAAAATGAAACGCCATATGGCATGGACACGATTTGATGAGGGCATCTGAGCCTGTGTGTGTGTCAAGGAAAGCTCTTCACTGGAGCCAGCACTCGGCTCTGCTGTGATTCCTCGGCTCTGCTGCCATTCCTCTGCCCCTGGACACAGAGCAGGCCCAGGAGCTTTCCCAGACAGGGCTGGGATCAAAGCAATTCTCTGCCCCAGCCAAAGGGTGGGGTATCCCCTGCCCGGAGCCAGCGGCAGGGCTGGGCGCAGCCGTGCCAGCTCACTGTGCATGGGCCGCCCTCCTTGGCACGGCCTTCAAGGGCTCCGGAGTGGGAGGGAAGCAGGAGTCCAGCCCGCAGGGCAAGAGGGAGAGTCCTTGCAGGCAAACTGAAGGGATCGGGCAGGGTGGAGCACTCGTTTGTCTGGAAAGACGATGCAGGGCAGCCCTGCAATGTGGGGATAATGCGATAATCCACCCCTGCGAGCGAGAGGGAGGAAGGAGAAGCCCCTTATCCCAAGCTCCCGGCTTCACCCCGTGCTCGGCAGAGCTGTCCTGCTGGCTGAGGGGCGCTCGGTAGCTTGATTTGTCTGTTCTTAACCAGCAAAATGAAGCTGTTTCCCTTCTGCTCTTATTTTCTTTGCTGGTTTTCATTGGAATCCAGGCTGGTTTTGATATTGGTGCCTGGTGCCTGTTTGCCTGGCAAACTGCAGAGAGGAAAACTCTCATTAGAGAGATTCCAGGCCTGTGCTTTTGTGGCTGAGGTCTTGGAAACTTCTCATTCGCGCTCGGTGGTCCTCCAGGGAGACCTCCAGCCGGAGCAGGAGAGAGCAGGCTTGCTGCTCACGCTATCTCGAAGGTAAACCGAGAGTAGCATTTGGGCCTCTTTCTCTTAAACATTCCGGGTCTCTTTGGACAGCTTTACAGGTGCTAGATGCTTTCCCTCCTTGTGGTACACGCCATTTCCAAGGCAGAACGTCCCCCTCAAAGATGGAATGAGCCTGGAATCGGCTCCTCAGCCCATAGGGCAGCACCCGCGTGGCGATGCTGAGCAGCTGTCTGCCTGGCAGGGCTGTTCCACTTGGCAGCCAGACAAAGGACTCAGGAGTAGGAGGAAAACAAGGCTGGGAGGGAAAGTCACTCCAGATAATACGGCATCTGGCCTGGGAGGAACCATCTCAAAGTGGGAAGCAGGGCTAGGCTGGGAAAAAAGTTTCTCTGGGAGAATTTAAGGGGAGAGCCCATCAGGAATAAGCATCCAAACTTCCATCTGAAATCACTGCAAGGCTGATGTGGGCCAGGCGCTGGGGCTTGGCTCACAGCTGCTGCTTCTGCCTCCTGCACGCTGTACCGCAGCCCCCTTGCACAGGGTGCAGAGGGATGTTTCCTGGGAAGGGGGGAGCAATCCAGAGCTTCCAGGGGGAGTTTGAGGTGTGAGGAGAAAAGGCAACAGAGTAGAGCTGGGGAATTTCTGTTCAGTTTCTGTTCAGGACTCAGTGTTTCCAATGCATGTTGGAGAGCTGGGGCAGTAACATCAGCCAAAAAGATGGTGGTGGAGGGACACCGAGGGAGCAAAACGAGCAGGAGGGGAAACCTTGTACCCTCATCAAGAAGCAGTTATAGGGAGGAGAGACAGGAATGTCAGGAGCTGTAGCAATGCGATAAGAAGGGAGCACAAGTGGTGCCAAGAAGGATAAAATGCACAATCTTTCCTCTGTGCCAATGCCCCAGGAGCATGTGAGGTGTCCCTGGAGCAGGGCCCAGGGAAGGAAGCACGAGTAGGTGCTGGCTCCTTATGATCCCAGTGAGAAAGGTGCTCAGCTCTGCAAAGTACCTCTTGAAATGGTGTTTGTCAGAGCTGACATGCACCTCCCTCACTTGTGCTCCTCAGAGAGGCTGAGCTGCCTTCGCTCAGGACTTAAAAAGGTTCATTTTCAGCCTAGGCCTATCAGAGACTCCTCACTTCCATTTTGGATTATCTCTTAATTTTAGCATGAGAGGGTAGTCTGTAGACCTGCAGATTAAACTGGACCTCAGAAACCTGCAGATGCATCTCTGATTATTGTACATGTGATGTTGGGACCCCTGGAAATGTGGGGTATTTGATATAACCTCCCTCTAGAAAAAGGAACAAACTTCCCCTTGCTACTCCATGTGTCTCTGTGGTGGGTAAAGGATATTTAGCACATCCCCAAGTCACCCAATTCATTAAGCCAGGCAACAATTAATTACATTGAAATGAATGCGCAAATGTAATGCTTTACACATGTCAAAAAGATGCCAGGAAAACTCTGGGTCTCGCTGTGCCACCTTTAATTCCTCTCACTGTTGATTTAATCCAAGATGATAAGGAACAAGCCTATTCTGCAATCTGCAGGAGGGTTATGCACAGCTCTGCAGACACTGATGCCATTTTCCTTTACTTCCAGATAAAAGGGGACAAACAAGTTTGACTTAAGGCATGGCCCAAGGCCCCCAGCTCTGCTGGGGAGAGCAGCGCCTTCCAACACACTTTGCATGTGTATTCCTTACACCCTCGCTGGAGTATGGCATCCATCTGTGCCGACTTTTGGGAAGGGAAAACCTCTCTGAGACCCACCAGGGCTTTGGCTAAGCAGGGAATGGGAGGCTCTGTGGAAACATTGAGTATTTGCAGTGGTTTTGGAGGAGCAGAGGTGAGGAAGTTGCACGAGGAGAGGGAACAGAAAGGAAAGAGGAGGGGAACAGGGTGGATGTTGCAGATCTCACACATCCAAGAAGATGTTCTGTACAGGGCAAATACATCATCTACGTCTGCAGGTGGCTGAAGAGAAAGGCACCTCTTACTGACCTTGCTGGAAACCATAAGCATACACATTGATTTTGAAGTTATCTCTTAGTGTGGAGAAGGCTCATGTGTGATGAAGGCTCTGCTGCATTTCCTGCTCTATGACCTGGCCACTTGGTGATTAAGAGCTGCTTTTGCCCTCAGTAAACAAGCCTGTGCTATGGGTCTGCAGAGCCCGGACCTGTGACTTGAACAGCCTGGAGCCTGCATGCTGCTGGGGCTGGAGCTGTTAAATTGAATGCAAGGTTTGCATGTGCAGAACACAACGCTCAGCAGTGCAAGCCATGCTTGTGACACAAAACCCATTCAAACTGCAGGCAGTGCCTCCGAGGGAGCTCAAATCTCTGCTCACCCCACTGAGCACAGTCCAGGGCCCAAGCACAATGGTGGCTTTATTCTTGTGGCCGCACCTGGTTCAGAACAACTCAAGTGAATCCACAGAGATAGGAAGAACACAGAGGTACCTCTTATCCAAGCCTAGCACACACAGAACACCCTAGGGGGCAGGTAGTCCAGTCAATTGAAGCTTACAGAGCGCCCAAGGCCAGGCAGTGAGGTTGTCATTGAGGTTCTTGTGCTGAAGAAACGATCATCTTTACAGAATCATTTCCCTACCCCCCCTTCCAGGAACACTGTGTATTTTGAAGCTGTCATTATAAAACCCAAGCAGAACATGGGGGATCTTGTTCTTCACCGTGTTGCTCTGAGCAGAGTTGTGTGCAGTTGGTGTAAAGCTGTGTTAAACACAGAGAGGTTGAAACACTCCCATTTCGCACTCACTCGCTGTGACTGTAAACAAGGCAGTGGAAAATCCCCTCCCAGGGCAGTACGGCCCTCTCCTGCAGGACCTCACTGGCCTCCCAGGGATAGACAGAAAGGCATGCACTTACAAATGTGGAAGGGAAGCTTTAGAGAAGCAGAGTTCTTGCTCACACAGTGCTGGAATTGGGGGTTTTACCAGTGGAATCCTTAGTAAATGAATGACACAGTTAAAACCTCAAGCACCCGTGTGAAAATACTGTCACTGACCATGTAATTCCATACCTGGGGCTGTCAGGTCCCCTCGCTTAACAGACAGGACGTGGAGCGATTGTTGTACTGGGCTTTGCCACCATAGCACTTGGACTGGAAATAAAGCACAAAAGCAGAACAAAATCAGGTATTTCATCCAGTACCAGACATCATTTTGAGATGTTTCCTTCATGCAGTCGCTAGGGCAAGAGATGGAGTGGGGGGGTGTCAAAGGCTGGCTCGTTTCTCCCACCCTGCTTCCAATTGTCCTTTATGTGGAGGAAACCATCTAATTGCACTGTGTGTCTGCAATGGAGATGCTACCTGCCTCCCTCTGCAGAGCAGCCCAATGACAGTGATCCTATGGGCTTAAATCCATGCCCCTTTACCCCCGACTTCCACGGAGCAGGATCAGGCTCCCTGTGTTTGCTGTCACTGCATTAAGATCAGTTGATTGCCTTGCACAGACATCAATTAGCATGTGCAATACAACTACCAAGTACCTCACCCATCTCACAGTGGGAAGATCACACATGTGGGTCTCATCCTGTGGGTCTTGGGCTGAGCTGTGCACCGAAAGGGGTTGTGCAGGTCCCAGGCAGTTACACTGGTATCAATCTCGGGTAATTTAACGATTATAGAGGATTAACTGACAGAAGGAGCGAGCCTGAGTGCTTTGCATTGAAAAGGACGAGTTCTGAAGTGGCAGATGCAGGCTGGAAAGATTCATAATTTAATCTGTAAATTTGCATTTTTTTCGGGTTAAGAAGAGGGGGGATTATTGATGCTTGCAAGCAGAAAATGAATTGATTACCAACGAGATTTGTATGGTGTTTTTTAATCCCTCCGAAGCTGCGATCTACATTAACCTTCACCCTCCAAGCGGAGAGAAACGGTGGTTTGAAATAAAAATAAATAAATAAAAACACCAGGTTTTTTTTTTTCCTTGGCGACATCTAGGATATAAAAAAAAACACGTTTTACCCTAATATCAACAGGTATTTTACATCGAAATCGACGCGGGGGGAGACGCGGAACGAACCGGAGGTGAACGGCGGCTCTGAGGTGAGGGGGAAGGCGGGAAGGCGGCGACACTCGGGCCACCCTGAGGGACGCGCCAGCCCTTCCCCTCTGGCAGGGGCCGCCGTCCGCGATCCCCCCCCGCCCCGGGCCGTGCCGTGCCGCGGGCAGAGCCGTTTATAAACGAGAAGTTGTGCCAAAACTTTCCGAAGTTCAATTAAAACAGCCCCCTCCGCCGCCGGGCTCCCCGCCTGCCCGCCCTCCTTTCCCTTCCCTTCCCTTCTCTTCCCTTCCCCTCCTCTCCCCTCCCCGCCCGGCTCCTCTCACGGCGGCGTCCCTGAGGGGAGCTCCATTGTCTGTGAGGGGATGGCCGCGGCACCCCCCGCCGCCGCGCCCCCTCCGCGCCCCCTCCGCGCCGAGGTGCGCGGGGCGCCGGGCCGCCGCGGCGGGTGGCTGCTTCGTCTGCCCCAAAGTTTTTGGATCGGCGTCTCCTCATGATGTATGGATGATATATTGCATTGTGGGTGTCAATATAACTGACGGCCATATTTGCCGGTGCTGCTACTGCTGTAAACAACCCAAAGTGTCTGGGAGACACGGAGACGCTTCACTGAATTTCAGGACGCTTCTCCTCCTCCCGCTGGCCATGTCTCTGGGAATGTCTTACAAGCCCAACTTGAACGCCCACATCCCCGGGACTCCCCTCAACCCGGGTAAGTCCGCGCCGGTAACTGGGTGGTAAGTTTGGGAGGCGTGCGGCAGGGCCCCGCGGTGCAGCACCGGCACCTGGGCAAAGGGAGGGGGAAAAGCCCCGGACTCGAGTTTTTGCCCAGTCCGGTACGGCCGGGCAGCGGCTCCGCGCCGGCTCCGCGCCGCCATTAACCAGCGCCCGCCCGGCGCCGTTACCCCGCACCGCGCCGCTCGTCCGCGGGGGTGCGGAGCCGGCCGCTCGCTGCCGCCGCCACCGCCGCCGCTCGGGGGCTCCGGCCGCCGGGTTTCCTCCATGCTCGGCTCCCCGGGGCGGCTGATTGATCTGGATCAGGAATATTCCGCCGGCGCCTCAGCGAGGACCGCTGCTGGCGGCACGCCGCAAGTGCCGCTCGCTCCGCGCCGTGCCTCGCCTCGCTTCCCCTCACGCGTGCGGCCGCCCAGCCGCTCTCCTCAGGCGGAGGGGCCGCCCCGGGCCGCTCTCCTCAGGCGAAACGGCCGCCAGGGACCCCGGCCCCGCGGCCGCCGCCGATGGGGCGGCCCGCAAGCGCCTCAAGGGGACCCTCGGTCCCCGCTTCCCCCTCAGAGTCTCCCGGCTCCGCGGAGCAGTCGGGGCAGGCGAGCCCGCTGCGCTCCCTGGTGATTTTTGGAAGGCTGGGGGGGGAGGAGGGGGGGAGCAGGAATTTGTCTTTATTTCTTCCAAAAGCCCTTTTAAAAACGACTCATTTTCTTTGGATCTGTACAGGAATGTTTCTAACTTCTCTCACTAAAAAGTTTCCTTGATGGCATTAACTTTTTTTTTTACTACATTCCCCCCCGTTTTATTTTCCGTTCCCTAATTCCCGAAGGTAACAGCAGGCGAGTGTTTTTTCCCTTGTGCTGAGGTGTTTTCTGTACAATTGGGTCTCCGTGGCGGGGACTCTGTGTGAATCGGTGCAGCCTGAACAAAGCCGCAGCAGCAATTGGCTTCGCTGTGGGATATTTGGAAGGGATCTCGCAAATCCGTGCGCGTCGGCTGGTATTAACCAGAACCAAAATGGAGAAGTTGGTTCCGACTTCAAAAATAACCCTTCCATCTCCCTTCCCCACAGCCCCAGCCTGCAGGCTTGGCATCAGAGCATCCACGGCCAGGAATCAGGCAGGTTTTTTTCTTTCCTTTCTGTTTTTTTTTTTCCCCCTTTTGAGAAGAGAAAGTTTTGCAGTCGGGCTGAGGAGGGAGGGAAGAGTGCCCGGGTGATTTTTACGGTGCCGTTTGTGGTTGTAAGCCAGGGAGATTGATGAGCGAAAGGGATCGACAAGATGCACCTTTAGCTACCAGGGGAGCAGCGGTCTTGTTTTACTGCAAGGAGCCGTTGCCAGCTGGTGGATGAACCGAGGTCCCTGTGCCTCAGACGCCGCGATCCTGCGTGGCGCTGAGCTCGGTGCGGCTGCGAGCGTGTGAAGGCTCGGTGTGCCTGGGTTACGTGTGGGGAGTGCCGCGGGCCCGGGCGCTGCGCTGCGCAAGGGGTCAGGAAGCAGGGGATGTGCTAAGGATCCCTGACAAAAAGCAGAAGTGTCACCGGAGGAAAAAGAGAAACAAAACAAAGCCCAGCAAAGGCAAAGCGTTCTCCTGCCGGCTCCCCCGAGAACCTGTGCCTTGCTCTCCGGAACAGCCGTAAAATCGCAGGGAAAACAAAGGTGGTATTTTGCGCTGGTGGGTGAGGGGTGGGGATTAGGTCATGCTATGGGGGGGGGGAATCCGGGTCTGGCTGCTCCTCGAGCGAGGGCTGCAGAATCCCGGCTCAGACATGCCGCTCACAATGCGAGCTGAGCAGTGAAGTTTCTGTCTCGAGCCCTCTCGCTGCCGTGTCTGTGTGCTTTCTAACGCTCCGGCTGCGATCAGCGCTTTAGATTCTTTCATGCAGTTTTATCTCTCCCCCCCCTTCCTCCTTCCCTTCCCCCCCCCCCCGTAATGGCAAGTTAGCAGCAGTTTGCTGTCATGCTGGAACTATTCCTGTCTAAGTTGTCCTCTCTTCTGAGTTCGGATCATCCTCAACACCCCCAGAATCTTTTCAATGAAAGAACGTCCTCCTCTGAATCCAAAATGGGCTCTCTCTTCCCTCCCTGTCTTCTGCCATTATCCTCACGCACCAGCTCTTCCTCTAGCTAGTGGTATTGCCAGCACCGTGGCCTAAGGCCAAGGGAGTTAGACAAAGCAGTCCTTGCAGTTGCACATATCGCATTCAGAGTGATATGACTGCAAATGGCCCCCTCCTTTCTGGAGCTTAATTCTGAATTGAAAGAGATTGCTTCTATATTGTGCTTAAATTAAATGCTCTCCCAGCTATGAGGATAAATCCTAGGTTTGCTTCCAAACCTGGGGTGAAGGTTCCCCCCCCGCCCCATCCTGCAGAGGAGAGGAAAAACAGGAAATCTGTCCCTTTTGGCCTGAAATCAGCCCTGCAGAAACCTCTCTGTATGAATGCTGAATATTTTGGTCTCGGCCAAAGGAGGGCTCTGGGCAGCTGTGGATCTTACAGGGATTTTCCTCTGGGAAGTAACGCTGCTTCCCTGCAGTGCAGGGCTTGTGGTGCAGGAGAATTTGGAAAGGCAGTGTCGACTCAGCTCCGGGAGCTGCGTCCTTGCTGCAGAGCCAACTCCTTTCAAGTTTAGGCTGAGAGTGGCCACTCTGCAAAATCATGTTTAAACTGTGGTCAGTAAGTGGATCAGGGAGATGTAGCAGTTGTGGTTGATGGGTGGCTGCCCTCTGTTCTCACATGGGAGCGTGTCTTGGGGGCTCAGAAGCCTGGACTGAAGTCCAGAGGGAGAGGAGCTGTCTTGGGGGGAGGGAAGTAAGGGAGGAAGCCTCTGTGGGTTGTCGGCAGCTCTGGGGATGACTGCGGGTGAGGAAAATGAAGCTGCTCTGCAAGTGACTCAGGATGCTGGAAGCATCCGGGTGCTGACTCCTCTGCCTCACACCAGGGTGAGGGAAGGAGAACGTGTTGTCACAGCAGAATTTGGTGCCTATTTCTCTTCCCCGTTGCCCAGGGAGGGGGTGGCACTTGGCCTAGGGTGTCTGCAGCCTGGTCTATAGTTTTGTCCAAATTATCAGTCACCTTATGGAGGGCCTGTGCTCTGGGAATTGGGTCCCTGTGCATTGCATCCCATGGTGTCAGTTCCAAACTGTGTGTGCTTGGGGAGCCCTGTTTGATGTCCTGCACAAGCACCTTCTTTGTCTGGTCAGTAAAAAGGTGCTCTGTTGGGGACCTGACATTACCTCTGTTAGGGGGACGGCTTTAAACTGGAGAGAGCAGGTTTAGGTCTTAGGCAGAAGTTCTTCCCTGTGAGGGTGCTGAGGCACAGGGTGCTCAGAGAAGCTGTGGCTGCCCCATCCCTGGCAGTGTTCAAGGGCAGGCTGGACAGGGCTTGGAGCAACCTGGTTGAGTGGAAGGTGTCCCTGCCTGTGACTGGGGGTTGGAACTATATAAGCTTGAAGATCCTTTCCAACCCAAACCCTTCTTTGATTCTGTGATATGACCTGTCATGCTGTGGCTCTAGCTTCCCGGCCTCACCTGACCATGCAGCGTCTCAGGGGAACCTCTGTTACTCTTTCTAACAGCCACATTTTGATTTGTTTGTATTCTCTTGCTTATCTTACTGAATCCTGCAAGTACTGTTTCCTCCTCATCTTTCTTGTGTTTCATACTGTTTAACTATTTCTCTGTAAGAGGGCCAGCTGCTGCGCTGAGGTGTAGAGCATCATCTCCATTGACTTAAGTGGAACCAGAGAGGTTTACACCAGCTGTGAACTGGTTTGTAGTTTGTTTCCTTGTTTCCATGTGTTTCTAGCTCTGTGGATATTTACCAGTATTCCTCTTTTGGTCAGAGTATGCACAGGTGAGAGAAAAGTTGTTTTAAGATACAGAAGCCATCAGAAAGAGCTTGGGATTTTCCTTTGGTTTCCTTCTAAGTCTTGCAGAAATGTCAGGTTTCAAGACAAAATCCTGTTCCAGCTTAGAACCTGTTGTATGTAGGATCTGGAAAACACAAATTCCAGCAGACTCTGACAGGGGAAGGAGCTGTGTCTCGGCATCGCGTAAGTAATTGGTGACCTGTATAGCAGGTGCTGCTTAGTGAGGACCAGCAGGGCTGGCGTGCACCTGAGACACCTCCAGCAACCACAAGTTTTCTGATGAAAAGAGCAAATTCTAGTGGAGAGGTGAAAAGAAGATAGTTTTTGTGACTGCGCTGTAGCTTGCAACTGGAGAGACCCATTTCAGTCAGTCCTGAGAAATGACACCCACCACACTAGGCCATTCCTTATGTGATTAAGACTGCAGTGCAGACTTGCATGAGCAAAAGGCTTGCTTGTCGCCCTTTGCAGAGACAGCTTGTGTTTGATGTTGTTGTCCATATTGAGAGGTTGTTTTTGGAGTGGGAGTACTGGAAAGAGTACTGTTTGTAGGCAGAACAGAGAGCAAAGTGTTCGTGCCTTAGCAGAGGAGATAATTTCTAGGAAATAGACTCCAGCACCTCCAGTTCAAACTGAAATTTGTTGCTTCCCTGATCTCCTGAAGACCATGTGAAGTTAGGAAAAAAAAAACCACATTGAGAGTGTTTCAGAATTAGCAATTTTCAGGTGGACTTGTTTGTACGTTTAGAAAACTGGCATTCTTGGCTTTGTCTACCTGAGTGTTTGCCTTTAGAGCAAAGGGCTGGTTTTCACAGCCAGCAAGTCTCCTCATTGTTCCCACCCATCACACGGTGGTTGAGGTGCAGGGTGGTTTTGGTTCATGCTAACTTGGTTCCTTTTGGATGAAAGTAAACTAGGAGCTCTGTTCCGGTTGTGCAGTGTTGATGCTCCATCCCTTTTAATGAGAACACAAGGGTCCAAATCAAAGGTTGGATGGTTTTGAACCATAGCCATGCTATGGATGCTTGGTCTGGGGGACCAGACTAATGTGAGGTCATACCTCCTTGCACCCCAGCTATGTGTGGTGTACATGTACCAAATGCTTTTATCTTT